GCGAGTTGATGTCACACCAAATAGTGGCCATCCCATCGTTACCTCTGTTTACACCATATCGGATATTGGATGGGGGTTTTGGATCAGTTTTAGCACTTTTAGTTTAATGTTACATATCCTTACATCTTCGCCCCACGCAGTAGTATATACATAGTAATTAGTGATCAATTCCCATGTGCCCCTAAATGGAATCCTGAACGCGATTGATCCGCTGATATATTCTTTCACATTGAGACAAAGTTATTTCAGTGGGTATTTAAGAGCACTGGTCCTAGTCAACACCATCACCGACCTTTAATCAGCATATGCATTCTGCAACCTGTACGGCCGTCTTAAATGCGAAGGAATTGCCACTGATTCGAGTCCTGGGTAGAAAGATGCACCAGTTAGTTCTAGATGGAACACCTCATTGCAAAATCTAGTCCCCAACCCTTCCTGCCCTACACATACTGATCTATAATGTCTACCTAGCAATTTTTGCGGAGAACGCAAACGCCACTAGACGAAACCTAGAAAGCGTATTCGGTCAGCTGAAGGACATATAATGTCAATATATCCCCGTAGATTAGTTAATTGTGCAGTTTAGCAGACTGGAAGAGCAATATTTAGTGACGGGACAGTCCCTTGTGAGGGGGTAGGCTGCTGATCAAGTTATGGGGGCCAATGGGGCAGCGACGTGAAATAACTGTCCAGACAATTATCTAATATCCCTGCTAAACTAGCGTATAGATATGATTTTTTTAACCTAATTGGCCAAGTATAAACGATCGAGGGCTTGCAAGCACTATGCAGTGTGCGCACCAGACTGTTTTTAGAATGAATCGTAAAATCAAGAGATAAGTAGATTTTTGTGATATAAACATGTTTGACTAATCTTGATATAGTCTGTCGTAGATATACTCTATGAGCTGGAAAAGCTTGTTGAACCATCAAGCTAATTCTTCATAATTTATAGCATGACATTAAATCTTCCCAACGCTAACCCTGATTGCATACGCCAATTCTTGCGTGTCAATAATTTAGAATTGCAACGAAATGAGATTAGTAGCGTTGATGTAGTTGGACGCCTTTGTCAGTTATTCCTGCATACAAAATGTAGGTTACATTCTAGAACGAGATTTCCAACATTGATGCAGCTGGACGCCTTACCAGCTATTCCTTCAATTGTAGCACGTTGAATCCGAGGATGAGATTTCCAGTATCACTGCAGTTGGACGCCTTACGAGCTATTCTTTTATACAGATTGCAGCAGGTCACATCCTGCGATGAGATTTCCGCCATTGATGCAGTTGGACGCCTTTACTAGTTATTCCTCCATACAAATGGTAGCATGTTGCATTCTAGGAAGAGATTTTTAATCCAGGTCCCATTTAGTCACTTGAATATGAGGGAATTTATTACAAATGCATATTCTGTAGTGAGGGGTAGATGAATCTACAGCGGAGGAAGAGAAGCCATAAATATGGCTTCAATTCCAGGTATGAAGATACTAACCACATTTCCACACCATCCTCTCACAATCAACATCATGGACCCCTTGTCTGACAAAACTTTGGCCGATACGGAAGTGAGTAAGAATGAATAGGTTTGAAATAGGAAACTAACGAAGGAGACCATACCTAAAGAGATTGGTGTCCGTGAACTCCGCGATGCGATCCCCGGTCATTGCTTCCGCCCATCCTACATTGTCTCATTCTACTACTTGCTGAGAGATATCCTCGGCGTTGTGACACTGGCAACACTGGCGGCATTCATACTCCCTCAAATTACAAACCCTTACTTCTACACCATATCATGGTGTCTATATGGCTTCACCCAAGGCCTTTTCGGTACAGGGTTGTGGGTATTAGCTCATGAATGTGGTCATGGCGGGTTCTCCCAAAGTCCATGGCTCAACGATATGATCGGATGGTCTCTCCATTCAATGCTATTGACGCCATATTTTTCTTGGAAATCGACACACCGCCGACATCATTTACATGCAAATCATATGGAAAGAGATCATCATTATGTCCCATACCGTCGGGATGCATATGCTGCCAAGTTGAAGGTCGAGCAGAGTAAATTGGAGGACTTGGCAGCTGATACTCCCGTGGTCACCACAATCCGGATAATTATCCAACAGATCTTTGGGTGGCCTTGGTATCTTCTCTTCAATCTGACCGCAGGACCAGAGAGCACACACCCAAAGAGCCCTGGACGATGGTGGCAGAATAGCCATTTCGACCCCGCCAGTTCATTGTTTAGCTCCGGTGATTACCTACCTGTGATTATATCAGACATTGGTATAGGTTTGACTATCAGCGTGCTATGTTATTTGGGTAACTTGTTCGGGTCCAAATCTATCATCCTGCTCTATGTCGTTCCTTGGCTGTGGGTGAACCATTGGATAGGTAAGGAATGGTTCTTCTATATCCAGGCGTATCGCATCAGCAATACTAATAAAAGCCAGTTGCAATAACTTATCTTCATCATACTCATCCATTGTTGTCGAGATATGAGCAAGACTCATGGAGTTTCTTGAAAGGTGCACTTGCCACGATTGACCGCGACTTTGGTTGGATGGGCAGGTTCTTCTTCCATAATATCATTGATTTCCATGTGATTCATCATTTATTTTCGTAAGTGAAACCTTCTGGTGGAATCTTTCCGCCTCATACGCTGATAGCTTCATTTTGCTGCAGACAAATACCCTTTTATCACGCGGAAGAAGCTACCCGGGCCATTATTCCTCTTTTAGGCCCTCGTTATTACCAGGATAAAGCCTCCTCATTTGTAGGAGGGCTTTGGCAGGCGTTCACTGAATGTCAATGGGTTGAGCCTGGACAAGGTAATTCCACTGAGAATGGAGAGCTACGGTTTCAGAAAGGACCTTCCCCAGCCCCAGAGTATAAGATGCGCCATTGGAAGGATATCGCATCCACAGAGTGCAAGGCTTGGATGTGAAGGTTGGAAGCACGCGAAGATTGTGAGGGTTAGAAGGGTTTGAAGTAAAGTGTCAGATGGTATATTCAAAGGGTAGATGTGAAGGACTACCACAATACTGTCACAGATGCCTTGTTGATTGCGTTTTTAGGGCTCAATAAACCTTTGTAATGCTTTATCTTCCACCCCCAGATAGTGACCGAAAAGACAGTGAAGTTGGAGTGACGGATCACACTCAGCACAAATCCAGGTGAGCCAAGGGCCTCATAACGCAATTATGATACTTTTTAATTATGAAACCTATTATTGCTTTGAGGCTATTCAAAATGATATGGGATATTATGAATTACTCGGATAGCAAGACATGTAAGCAAATAATCATTTCTAAGGTTGTTTCTGTTCCTCGATGTTCAGACTAAGACAATGCACCGTAATCAGCAGCGCCTGATTGATCGTGAGCGTGGGTTTTTCACTTAGGTCGAAAACCTGTGAGCTTTTCTCCCCCTTCTCCTTGCTTCCCCCGAATATATCAAGGTGTCCTCCGTTATTAGCATAGAGAGAGCAATCATAGAACATAATAAGAGTTTCTGTGGTATTATTCCCTTGTATTTCCATAGCATAAACCACCATAGATTAGAAGGCCGAATAGGTCCACCTTTCCTGGGCTCGAAGCAACTTTCGGGTCACCTGATCAAAGATGACAGGACTTCACAAATTTCGATTGCTGTTGCCAGACTCCAGATTCTTCGTAGCTTAGCTTTCTCAACTATTCAACCAATATCCCACATCTCCACCTCACCCTCACCCTCACCATCACCATCGCATCTAACTTCGCCTCGTGGTTTACCGCACTCAAAGGCGCTCTCGATACTCGGGCCCCCTATCCCTTCCAGATCCTTACTGTCGCGATGGGAACAGAGACTTTGCTGGGATCGCGAGACGACTACTATCAATTCATTTCCGAGGCTCGACCTCACCCCGGGCCAACTAGAGCAGTGAGCTGCACTCATCTTCGAACGCGTAGCTGATTCTAAGCTGGTGCATGACGTGGATCACGACGAAGAAGGCCGAACGCAAGACCGGTATGCGCTACGCACATCAATGCAGTGGACCGGTCCACAGCTGGAACCTTGCACTCGCACTTTGAGTAAGTCCAGACGGAGCCAAATTCTACCATGGACAACCCACTCCTTGATCTTGCCGAGGAACGGGTTTACTACGGAGGAAACTTTCAAGCAGCAGGGATAACATCAGCAATGGAGAAAACCATGGGCGTGATACAGATGCTGGGCAAAATGATCTTCTTGTAGTGCCCAGAGATTCTCAATCCGATGCTTCGTAAAGGACCACCACCAAATCTCAGCGCCGACGACCCGAGAATCTCGTTTGCGCTCCAAGGTGTTGATATTAACATGGATTCATATATGTCTCAGCCGGCATATCTTAACCACCCTGGTAGCAACCATGTGCAGTCCGCATAGATGCACAATCAAAGCCTGGACTATCTGGCTTTGATTACCCCTCGTTATGTAGGCGACGCTGTCGAACTCCTGGCACTAATATCTGCGACATACCAGTACGTTCTGCTCCAGGCCTTGGATCTTCATGCTATGTATCTACCTCTGTAATCCATCACAGAAGCTCTATGGGATCGTGCGTCAGGGCCCTGAGATGCCCATGCATTGGGGTCTGGTAGATCATGTAGCCTATGATTCTGGCAACAAGGTGTCAAAGAATCAATAGGTTCGCATATCGGTGTATGCGGCTTTACGAGTGGTCGAGTTTCGTGAGGTTATTCTGAGCTGCAGTTTTCCTCAATAGTGGGCCCACTTAAAGGAGTTTAAGGGCCCTGTCACCTGTCCTGTGTTATTTGTGTCTTAGACATATCATGAATTCATCTCATAAGCTTAAAATAGGACTGATTTTGATGGGTCCATCTTGCTTAGTTGATCACTTGAAATTTTACTTATAGATTATCTAATGACACTATCCTGTTGAATTCTTCACACATCAGCCCTCCCAGGTCACCTCCATAATGGAGAGATATGATTTAGATGGCTGGGATATTTTTTTTTTCACATTGAATCGCGAGTCTGTGTCTCTAAAAAGACTCTAAAAAGAGTCTTCCAATCATCCGGTGTGTGCTCTTGAGCATTCTGCAAACCAAGCATGTACATATCGTAGTCCCTGGTTCTTCTTATCAGTATATAATTCCCCGTCACTTCAAATATATATAAAAATAAACCTCGTACCGTGCTTCACGCTCTTTCAAATAATGTGCCTCTACATAGCCGGGAATGATACGATCATTTAGTACCACCTTGGCTCCAGGCTTCAAAGCTGGTATCAAAGCCTGCAAGATCTTCCGCGCGTATTTATTGGACCAGTCGTGCAGTACATGCCGTAACAAATAAACACCAGCCCCCTGTACCGGTTGGTCTTTGAAAAGATCATGGGGCTGGAAGCGGATACGATCCTGGAGATTAGCCGGCAAAGGTTGTTCTGCCTGAAGAATGACCTCGGGGCGATCTTGTACAATGCACTGAACTTTAGGGCAGTGATCTGCGAGTGCACGGGCGATATGGCCAATACCACCGCCTATATCGACGACTGTGATATCTCCAGACCCGAAGGGGAAGTGATCTAGTAGATACTGCGGGGAGTAGCCAGGTAGTTGAGCGTGCCAACTCATGGCTTTAGCAAAGATTGTCGCACGTTCAGGCATGGTGGCGAGGGCTTGGAAGACCGGGAGATCAGTGTTATTTTGTATATTCCATCCCTGTTGCCATTAGTCAATTTGCAGTTAAATACCTAGGTAGTCACTGGAATGATTACGCTGTGTTGTGGTTCTTCCGAGTCATTGTTTTGCGATACTGCTTCGGCGATCTGGGAGATCAGCTTGGTATGAACAGGGATTTGGTGTAGTTGGAGCGTACTTTAAGGGCACCAGGCGTGGTCTCGCCAAGTCCAACCAGCATCCAAGAACGCATGCCCTCATTCTTCGTTAGAATCCTGGAACCAGCTGTGTGGATGAAAAAATCAGGTTTTTCTTGGAAGAAGACATGATAGGTGGCGGCGTGTGACATTAATGGGCGAACTGTATTCTCATTGCGATTAACGCGCTCTGCTAGATCTTTGATGGTGGTTCCCTCACTCGGAAAATTCTCAAAGATCTTCAGGCGCACCAGTGCCAATATACTCATAGAAGGGTTACGCTGAAGAGATTAGTCGGGTTGAAAAGTGTAATTTGCCCTCTTTACTTACCAATTCAGGGCTACCCAAGAGTGCTGGGTCTGTCAAGAGATCACGTAACTCATCGAGTAAGCCCAGGAGCTTCATGCGTGCGGCCAGGGCATTTGAATCTGGAGCATCGGTCTGCAGGACATCGGGTAATCCATGCTCGAAAGAAGACTCGGAGGTTCCCTGGGAAAGCAGGTCGCCTGCTAGGGTGTGAACAACGTTAGCAATTTCAGTGGCGCGAGTGGTGAGGTTAGCACGGTCCATTGCACCGATGATGTATATGTTAAAATTAATCAAATAGCACTTTCAAGGGAAATCACCACCTTTTTAAGCGATAGCGCAGGTAGCACGAAATACTTCCGTAAATATAAGACAATTTTCCAATTTAGCTCGGTTATACAGGTATGGCATGGTCTATAACAGCGCTATCACCCCAGAATCCCTTATCTTGGCTTTTGGCCCCAGCCAAGCCCACGCTTTTATTGAAAACGCACTATTGTACGCCATCTGTAACCCGACGAAACGACACTAGAGCACTTCTTTACATTTGGGATGGGCCAAGCCAACTTTCAAGACAGGGATTATACTGGAATGTTGTGGGCCAATTGATTTTCCGTGGTCATCGCGCTGGTTAGGTTGAAGGTCCACGTCAGCAGGAAACCGTGTGAGAAAAAACAGGAATTAATGCTTACACTCAATACACAAAATACAGCTACAGCATATTTACATTTCATTAAACGTAGCTACATTTACAGAGTATGGAGAGAAATAAAAGAAACAAAGCAAAGTATGTCGAGTATGAGGAGAAACTTGCAGGCCTAGCTAGCTTTCCTCCATTACTCTTGTCAAAACTGAGGGAGGATGAGACATCTTCGTTAAGTTGTTGCCCGAGTGAGATCATTTCAACTTCAAGTTGGTTCTTGGGGTTCTTGCACCGCTTGCTGGAATTGATTGAGTAATACACCGTGCTTTTGAAGTGTGAGTCGTTTGAGGAGGAGCGCGTCTTGAGATTCGTGCATGCCTGGAAAAACGCAGGTATGAAAGGCAAAAGGCTAACCATCAGAGGTGACAAAACCTTCCAGGATCTAGCTGATCTCCATGTGACATACTACGATGCCCTGGAGCAAAAGCAACCTAGTGGACCCTACGCCTTAGCGGGATATTCGTATGGTGGTATGGTCGCCTTTGAACTTGCAAAGAAGATCGAAGCAGCTGGGGATGAAGTAAAGTTCATAGGTAGCTTCGACCTACCACCGTACATCAAGCATGTGATGAGGCGACTAGATTGGACGGGGTGCCTTTTGCACGTTGCATTTTTCTGCGACCTCTTTTCAGAGGACCGTGCTGATGAATTGGCACCTGAGATACGCCCCTTGGCTAAATCAGAGCAGCTGACACGAGTGATGGGTGAAGCGAACCCAGCCCGTAGGGCCGAGTTGGGAATAACGCTTGCATCCCTGAATACCTGGGCTGATGTGACCTCCCTTGCAAATATCGGCCGTAACTACGATCTATCCGGTACGGTTTCTTGTATGGATGTTTTCTTCTGTGATCCGTTGCGAGGCGTGGCAGTATCGAGAGAGGAGTATCGCTACAACCAACTAAACCGTTGGGAGGAGTTTGTCAGAAATGATCTCAAGTTCCATGAGGTGGATGGCCAGCATTACACAATGATCTCCCCAGAACGTGTACCAAAGTTTCAACAGAAGTTGAAAGATGTGCTTTCTGCGAGAGGTCTTTTATTTCCAAGGACAAAGCTGGACGTCATTTATCTGCGGAGCAAGATATTTGAGGATGATTGGGAAAATTGCGAAGAAAATAATCCGGTGGCTACGACATGACTTATCTCCTCGAAGGAAGTTTAGAACAAGTCGCCACTGGCAGCGAATATTTTGACTTCTATCCCCTGTATACAGCAGACAGTCATCCTTAAGTTTCTCTTACTGCTAGCTCCGTCTGATTTGGAATGGATGGATAGAAGCAATCGTATTGGATTCACAGCCTCTATAACTTAACTTTCACAACCCTCTACTCAATACAATCTCACATCGTTCCTCTACATCCTCCAATAGCCTACCTTGTCGAAGCTATCCTTATAGACGTAAACCGGCCAGGCAACCCCCACAAACATCCACCAACGGTGTCACCTACCTCCATACAAATGGTCTTATCAACATATGCAAACCGCGGCCTTCTTGCGCAGAGTTTTCATTATAAAGTCTGCTATCCACGCGGTCAAAGTGTTTCTATATTCGGTGCATCAGACGAAAGTCTCCTACCCATGGGGCCAACTGCCTCTCCCACAATTATTTGTCAATAAGCTATCCATGCGATCGGTACGTCTTCATTCGACGCACCTCACCCTTCAAAATGCTTTCGGCAACTAGCTTCGCGGAGCCACAGCTCTCAGTCCTCGCTCCCCCCAAGTCATCACCAAATTCATGTGACTGGCTAGCAAGCATGGCCAGGTTATCACCCTTGAGATGATGGAGCATATCTTCCGTAATAACGCACACATGAATCGAACTTTGGTGAACAGTACTCAACGTCCTACTGTTCATTAAAAAAGTCGATTTACAGTGCTCAGAACAAAGTCACAACTTTGCACTAAGGTGGACACCAAATGCCAAGACTTTACGGTACATACCTATGTACATATGTATGTGCACAAGGACCATACACAACCTTGTTTACGCCATACCAAACATGGTTAGCGTATAACCTTAATGATCTATAAATCTTCCAAGGTTCCGAGGTTACTGTATCTCAATGACCTATATTTTCAATCAACAACATGGTGGATTTCGATAAGACATATCTGAACAATATCAAAACTGGAAAATGATTTAAGCATCTAGGTTGATTTGCGAGGCCGAGAAGGATATTGTCTAGCGGCGTACGCCTTTAGAATGTATACCTTTTCTCTACAACTTTAGAGACTCATGATCCGAGACTACGCAACTGGCTTAATGATAATATAAACCTTGGAGGTATTGTGGGTTTAGAGAGCAGATAGTTGAAGAGGGGAAGTTGCATAATGGGGGGGTCCCCTGAAGGACACTCTCATCGCCTACTCAGGTAACTCCTTCCCACTTCCACGTTACCTACCTACCCAGGGTATAGATACCCCCTTCCCCCTCCTTCTCTCATCATTTTTCTACCCTCTTCATCTCACCACATCCTCATCCATGGATACCACCCCCAAAACATCTCATCAAATATTTTATCCACCCCATACCTTCCATCAGATCTTCCATCATCAACTTAAGCTTCATCATTTCTTCTATCTTTCTACATCTACACCTACCCAATAATATGAAGCTTGTGATCATCATGCCCTTGACGCATTGGCCTTAGCCCCAGCCACATGCATCGCATGCCTGGTCAGTTATGCCATTTATTTCCGACTTGCCTGTTCTTTCCTTACTTACATTCATCCTTCAGGTAACCTCACCACATAACAACACCTCGTTTCAACGTGCCTGCCTAGGTGGCACCTGCCATATTCATCATCCATTATATGATTTGTATGTTTTGCCTGTTTCTTCTTTTTCTTCTTTTCTCCTTCCATCTACTTACATCCACTGTTCAGACGCATCAACACGTGCTCCTTCCTTGATAGGATCATGACTTCTTGTTAGGGTGGCCAACCATTCTCTATTGTATGTCTGCTTTCATGTTGTCTCATTATATTCTATGACTTGATCAACAGGACATGTGGCTGACTATACCAGGCATGTGTGCTCGACTACATCTAGCCTTGCCGTGGCAGCCTCTTTGGCTGGACCTGAGCAAAAGGAAATAACAAATAACAAAAAGGAAAAAGGAAAAAAGGAAAACACTTCAAGCAACATTTCAGTCAACCATAAAATGGATTATCCATCCAGTCAGCCATCCGATCAACGATCCAATCAAACCATCCACTGCAATCAACTCTTCGATGAACACTTCGACCAATCAGTCAAACACTCAGTCAACCAGTACTTCATTGCATTACAATCACCGATCCAATTCGATCAACAGTCTACTACAGTAAACAATTCAACTGTGCAACCCGATCAACCATCCAACCATCCAACCAACACTTTATTGCACTCTATTCAACAATCCACTGCAATCGGCACTTCAAACCATCACTTCCAGTCTGACTGTGACGGGCTTTACGGCTTCAGGGCAATCGGCAGACTGGTCAATCAACGTTCGATCAACCACCTCGATCAGTTACCTACTTTGAACAACCCTCCACTTGAAAGAAGCCCTTCGATCATCCACTTAGATTATCCCTATTCCCATCAACCGCCACTTCGAACATCCACATCAGCCAGTCTGACCGTGGCGGGCTTCGGCTTCAGGAAAATCGGCAGACTGGCCAACCAACCTTCGATCAAGCACCTATTTCGAATATCCTCCACTCAAATACGACAACAATCGAATTCAAACGATCACAACCACTCTGACCGTGGCGAGATTTAGCTTCAGGATAACCGGCACACCGGTCACCCACCAGTCCGAACAATCATCTACTTCGAACGACCACATACACCAGTCTAACTGTGGCGGGCTTCGGCTTCAGGACAATCGGCAGACTGGTCACAATCACGTCGATCGACCACTTCAATAAACCAATGAGACCAACCACATTAATAGGTCTTACCATGGCAGCCTTTGGCACCGGGATAATCGGCAGGGCTAGTCAGCCATCAATCATCCGCTTCAATTACCCCTCCAACGAACTATCCACTGAGCGACTTGACGACTTCAAACTTTCAACAACTGCAATCAATTCTCCACATTTGATCACCCACAATGCTTTAACCTTGAAGAGGAGGAAAGAAAAGAGCCGACCTTTAACGGAAGAGGTCCGCAGGATGATCTGTGAAGGAGGCTGCTCATCAGGAAGAGGTGACATCGTGTACCTAATCAGGAAGACTCTTAAGACACTTTACTTTGATGGTCAAAAGCTTGCCCCTTTTTACTTGACTACAGACTACACCAATAAATCACTTTGACCAATCATGAGGATCTCACGTTAAGTCTCATTCGAAAACATCTAACAGGGGACATGCGAGGCCCTTTTGGCTAAATACGTTAAATTGGGCCAAGTTCCCATTCTTCGTTATCTGAATCCAATCACTCAATTTCCATTTTGGGTGTACCCTCCCCCCTTGGAACTAGAGTCTGTTAATTTATTCCTTCCATTGGACCGGGACAGTTATTACTCGAATTGATGGTAAGCTGTTGCGAGATCTTTGCCCATGTAGCTTCAATAGCAAGTTTTCGTTCTCCGATCTCATTCTCCGCGCCATAAACACCTTTCTGCTTTCCCACAACGACATTTCGGTATCTGAAATTGATAATGTTTAGTGAAGACTAGTCTGCTGTGGGCTTGACATACCTGAAGCAGATATCAAGAGTGTCAAGGACAGCAAAACCAAGCTCCACACCACTCATTATGCATTATGTGTGACTATTTGATTTTGGCAGGAATTCCTGAATAGAATGGGGACAGGAGACGATAGCAACAGAAAAGTCGGATTTTGGTTTTGAATGCCTCACATATGAGTCAGGTGATAGAGCAAAGGTGGCCCAGCCGCACTTGCGAGGGGCGTATGTGAATTTGTCCCATCACCACCACAGAGAATCAAGTGAACCCGAATCGTCTCTTGAGCAACACATACTACAATGGTGTCTGATCTTGTGACTGATTGGAAGCTAGTTGTTCGGTTCTCCGCAAAACACACCCACCATGTCGTTTTCGTATCGGATGCTAGACCTGCCATACCAAAACAGACCCCCTTTCCCCAGCCTATCGACTATAAACACGAGTTGGAAGCAATTTCGAAATTTTCCCAAACAAAAGCACGCAGTATGCACACTACCACCAACCATAATGTGAGGGTGCCCCTGAAAGAGTGGAAGTGCGAACCATCACAACCCAAATGGAATTTGTAGAGCCCACCGACAGTGTTGAAATACACTGTGGTCTACGCGATCATGAAAGACTCGGCACCAACCCTTCTCAAAATATATCTAGGTACGAATTCAGGTAATTTAATCTTTCTCCCATTCTAAGGTAAATCCAGACATCAAAGCCCCTCAAAAATTGGATCGAACCCGCTGTATTTGCCACAACTTGTTCACCGTCATAATGAGAACATATATCTTCAAATATATTTTGGAAACCTAGCTTTTCAATACATACCCAATATATATATATATATATATATATATATACATATAGATTTCTCTCTCTTTCTCTGAGATAGCATTATATCTAGCATCCTAAATTGCTGGATTCCTGATAATTTTATCAAAAACTGAAATGGCGGGACCAGAAACACAAAATGGCTACCTCGATGTCGGGGGCAGCTTCCTTAAAGAGCTACCAAGTTCAATCGAAAGATATACATATGAAGGAGAGTGTTCCTTCCTCCGAATCTTCAATCTGAAACTTAATCCCAGCGAATCCCCAGGAAATGAGAAGAACAATTTTATCCTGTTTCATACGAGTCGTGGAACGATCGAAACCCTGTTGAATCCAGACAGGGAAGCAACTACCCTTTCAAAGAACTGTTCCTCTTTTGATCTGGACGAGGAACTTATCCTGATAAAAATTCCCTCCCCCGAACACTCGGCCGCAACCACTGCCGTGGACCACGCAATAATGGCAGCTCTCCTACCGATGGGGTTATTTGACTCCCTGAACGGATATCCTAACGCGACTATCCAAGGGCAGACCAGAGGAAAGCAACCTGATCAAGGCTGGGGCTCTATAAGGCCACCACCTGGTTACAAACGGACACCCTCGGTTGTGCTAGAAGTTGCCTGGTCTGAATCGGATTCAAAATTGAATTCTGATGTTCGATTCTGGCTGGCACCAGGCGACGGAAACGCCAAGACTTGTCTAACTCTGAGAGTAGACAAACACCGACTAGCAATCCGTATTGAGAACTGGAGACTCCAGAATGGAAGTGACCATCGCGTCCAGATGATCCAGGTGACCAAGGTCTCAAACTGCATAACTGTCACCAACGACCCTCTTATCATCCCGTTCCAAGATTTATTCCTCCGCGCACCATCTATACCCGCCGAAAGAGATATTGAAATCTCACATCAAGCTTTGGAAGTTATTGCAGAGAAAATTTGGGATGTTCAGGGCTTCTAAGCCTCTGCGATCACTCTTCTCCCCATGGTCTTCTCTGTCATGTACTAGATTTCTCCGTCGGACAAGCGAGAAGTCTGACCATGTATCTTAACCAGGAAGCAGACCAAGCCAGCGCTTATTGCCTTATTTCCTTATTGCCTTGATGCATGCTCGAGTGCCTCAGAACCTTTCGACAAGTGGTACTCTTTTGGAAACCAGTGGAAACTAAGTACAGTCAAACTTCGTTAAAATGTAAGGACCATCGGAGAGCAAGTACTTACAAATTAACGAGGTTTGTGAAGAAGTGAGGATCTTGGCATTTATGGGTTATGTAATATATCGTTTTCGTATTATATAATCTTATTTTAGGGACCGTTAAAACCGGCAGAAAAAGGCGGGATACAGAGTTAAGCCAATGGAACTAATAAAACACGTGGGCGGTAGGCCTAGAAAGCAATTTTATTAAGTTCGTAGAATCGGGGGGGTACTATATCTAATTAGGCAGCCTTGGCGCTCTTTACTATGGCGAAATGTCCCGGGAGCATAAATTTTTCCGAAGTGATAGGTATACAAAGAAATGGAGTACATTTTAATGGTGTGTGACTGTAGATTTGACCGAAAAGGACCAGGACGTCGGCTTGTCCAAATCTCACCCCCAGGTGGATTACCTAGCCCGTCCCTCTCCACTACCTTCACCTAGTCTACTACTAGTAGTACAGCTCGTCGGGATCTTACGCAAGATGTTCAGCTCCCGATCCGCTTAGCTTCCGACATTGAGGAAAGTTCGGCATACCGCGGAACCTCGTAAGATTATTTCACTTGGTCGGAGCGCCATTGATATACTCTTTCAGTCATTAGAATCTCAAGGTCCTTATAGATTTTCGGTGTTATAGCTAGGAAAAAAAAAAATTCACAATTTACAGCAAAACCACCAGGAATGGGAATATGATAATAATTGGAATAATGTGTACCTATGTAGTACGGTGAATAATATACGAAGTGCCATATACCAAGCCCGACATACGAAGTGCGATTACGAGGGCAGTACAAAATATAGAGTATATAGAATTTTTATGACCAGGGGCAAGAATAGCTAGCTGGTTGCGTATGGGTCTTCTATGCTCGAGGACGATACGATCTAAATGGGAGACCAGAAAAAGGCGGGAAAGGCGGGAAATGCGGAAAAGCTTAAAATGCGCCGACAAATTTTCAATTTATGACCGTGGGATTGAGCAAATAGACGAAGTGCTCAGGGCGTGATTTGTGATCTTAAAAGGTTGAATAAGAAATACTAACAGCGAAAACTAGTTGATCAGTGGAGATTTTAAAATGAGTGCCGGACTCGGACATGCCGTTCTTGGCAAATCGGCACTATTTAAACATACTAGACTGTTATAGGAGGTAAGAGGACCCACGACGGCAGTCTCGCATTTGGGATCGCCAAGCACCTTGTTTTTCATTGTCTGCACTCCGTACGGAGTACAATACAATAGATAGTGGGACCTCCGAACTATTGGGCTGAACTTCTTTGCGGGTACGAACTTCAGCCCAACAGTTCGGAGGTCCCACTGTAGATGAGATCTTATCTGATATTAACAAGCTTTTACTATATCCCTAAAGAGTAATGGTAGCTGAATGCGAACTACGCATTTAAATTAATCACAATTAAATCAAAATAAATAAAAATCGAGCATTGACAATTCAAATGTTTGACCTCGTACTTGGGTGGGTTAAAATATGGAGAATTACAATATACCTAGAATCTGGAATCCTTGAATACCTCCATCTTATTAGCGAGCCATCTTTGCCACCAGGGTATTCATACATATTTCCGAGCTCCCCACCTTCGGAGCTCTTAGCGCGTTTACATACCGCAAAAGTCTTTGGCCGGGATGATTATCACCTTGTTGGGCTCCTGAAACATGGAAAATCTTTTAATTATAACGAGTTTGTGTCTCGTGGCAAAGCATATGAAAATTGAAACTAACAGCAAGGCATGCTCCTAAAACTCTGTAATGATTTTGATGGCTCAGGTAGTAAGCTAGCATCCGATCTATATATTTACGATCTTTATTCTTGTCGACTAAATCACGATTTCCCCTTGGGACAAGGAATACCAGCCTGAATGTCGCGTGACTCGGAAGGAAATTTCCAATTCCTCTTTACACAATCCCCGGCCCACTCTCTCATGATGATCATATTGAAGAAACAGGGGATGTATCCATTGCCATCGGGTGAAAGCTCCACTCCGTTGCTTCAACCGGTTTCATGTGGCCTCCATCAGGATAATATAGCATGAAACAGTGGCAGTCGATATAGCGATTACCATTCCCACTACGGTATTTATCGCCGTCGTCCATTCTCTAGAAATGTTGATTGGGGGCCTTAGGAATAGAGAGGACAAACTGCGTTGTCAACAACAACATTAGAGGTAGTGAAAGGAATGCTATTGATTTGCTCCTTCTGTATATTGCTAGGAATCTATTTGTATCGGGTAGGGAGGGAAAGGGCTGACACTATGTGTCGGAAACCAGCCTCAATTGCGTTCGTGATGTCAGAAGATGTTTTGATAGGCCAGAATTAACAAATAGACACTAAAACCTAGGAATACAAACGTTCATCAGAGCCGTGATTCTGGAACCCATTTTCCAGTCAGTCGCCTACTCCGCTATTCGACCAAGCTGACGCTTCATAGGGATCCAAAAAACATATATTGTCATCCGTGAGGGTAGAAGCAGGGGCCAAGAAGGCCGCCACAAAGAGGATCAATGACCGGGTTCGCATTTTGTACATATGGAACCGCACTCGAGTGCCAACTACTAAATGTCGATTGAGGATTCGCTAGAAAGAGTGATTCTATTATTTGTGAACCCGTAACCCATTGCACGTGCTTATATGTCCCCGACTATCCCACGGCACGGACTTCTCCGTAGTTCGACGACCCGGTTACTACTTTAAAGGGACTAAACAATTCCATTTATACAATTAGCCGTTCTAGAGCAGAGAGATTAGCGCACCAAGTATTCTGTAGGCTCTAGTCATAAACGGCTGACTATGTACACTATACTCTGTAGGCTCTTGTGGATCACTACCCCGGAGTTCCGAGTATATTACCTCCAGCACCCTTACATCCATGGATACCTTCATGATTATCTAACATTATAAACATTGTGAGTTCATATTTCGCGCTACTCCGGAGTTCCGAGCTATGCTAATTTTGGCTATATTTAGTAGTCATGTTAAAAGTCACTAAGATATTGGCAATGGAAACGACCGGGAGCGGTGCGCCAAGTATCTATCCAAAGGAGGAAAATACCACCCCCTTCCTGGCCATTCAATGTACAATTTTTGAGGATCGGCACAGTGAGCTGAAGCAGACTGAGACAGATTTATTCTTCATAAGGCCTACTCTTTACAACAACATATGTCATTTCGAATATCTACCTAGGTATATAAACGACTAGGGACCTTCTTCTATCCTTTATTATCACAGCACCACAATCCACTTTAATCCAAGGACCACCGATTTCAAACACTAAAACATAAATTTATATTTTTGATACATTGTATCTTAACCATCCATGAAAATGAAGACTTCTTTCGCTACGATTGTTCTATCTCTTGCTGAGTGCCGTTCGCCGCCCCTACCACTGAGTTCCGAGTCTACCCCTAGAGCATCGGCGACTTTTCCCTCAAGCACACCGTTGAGGGCGACAAATGGGATTTGACATTCCACATTACCCCCAGGAGCCCCGCGAGTGAGGCCCTCGAGACCACCACGTGCCACACTGCTTGGTGAGTTACTGCCATTCTTCAGAACCCTTAGTAAAACAACTTTTTTTATATTATCTCGAACTCTACTAGTCGGATTCTCTTTCAAATCAAAACATATACTTATATAGCTATTGTTATTATTAACAGTAAATTTGAATTTTATACGACTAGTAAAAGGGTCGGAATACAATATTATATAGCGATTACAAGATGCCTGTCGAACCCCTTTTAATAGGCTTTAATGGTGGCCTTAAGGGCGCGAGCCCACCTGGGCATTTATGGGCTTTGCGGAACGCTAGGTCCATGTAAAAGTGCATATTACTGTTAGTCATCAATATCCGCACAAATTGTCAAAACAGCGGATTTTGTCATTTTAGTTGGTTAGTTTTCTGTTAGTGTAAAATGTTGCTCTCTTTTTTACCTAATCTATACCAAATATGCTTTTGTTAGTTAATTGATGGAGTATATCTACTATATAATTGGACAAAGCCGTACGAGTAAAGAAAACAAGCGATAGATTATTTATTTATGGTGAACAACTGACGTACATATATTTGAGCTTAGAAATTATAGGAAAGTAGTAAATAAAATGTGAACAAAAAAGCAACGAAGACCACAAAGAGCAAAAAGAAAGATCTAACAAGCAGCCCGAGTAAACAATCGACCATCAGGCAATACCTTAGTGTAACACGACTCCATTCGTCATCTTCTTCTCCTGTAGTGCTCTCCTATAACTTAATTGGCAGCAGTTGGGATAGAGTAGTGATGTCACTATTGACACCGATATTAACTAAGGTAAGCCACGGAGTTTAAAGGAGAATCTTACTTGGACAACATAATGCTCCACTCGTCAAAGTCGGAGTTTTCTCAAGCTTTCAAGGTGTCAACCCATCCTTCCAAGTCCATGTTGAAGATGGAGACATCGCCCCGTGGAACGCCCATCATCGTGGTCAAGCGATCATTGATCAACCACTTTGTAGTGCTTCCCTCAGTCACTTTGACCAGCTTATCGAAATACTTAGCTTCGGCGAAGAACGACTTGTCGCCCACGTAATGACTCGCGGAGCAATAGGTCGTAGCTTCAGCCGTGTCCTTGCCCGTGAGCTGTATAACTTGCGTGCTCAATCCGTGGAAGGTGGTAACGTGCCCGATAGTGTTCTGCAGCTTTTCAATAACAGTATCAATGCCACTCATGAGACCAAGTGAGCCCGTATAGTCCGCCACGCAATCTTCTGTAAACGAATTTCGAAGCTCCGCGTACGTGTTTGTATCAAATGCAACTGCAATGTTTGAAATTGCATTCCTGATGAGCTCATGATCGGATATAGTTGTCTCCATTGTGTTGGTGATTACTCGGGTTCGGGCTTTTGATATAGTTTGACTTGTCTGTTCGGGGATGGTTGTACGATTTGGACTTTCGCAGGTATAGAGGACGCAGAGAGAGAGATGGAAGTGATTCTAATAAGAGGTGAATTCTAGTATAAGCTGAGATCAGAAAACCGTTTGCTTCTTATACTTCCGAGGATTGCGGATTGCGAGTCTAAGTTGTCAGACGTAGTATAGAGTAGTTGCCTGAGGTCTGACCAATTGATTATAAATGCGCCCAATAAAACAGATCACCAGGAAGTTGCTCCTTTACCACCGAATACCATACTCGGTTGCTGCAGCTGAGAATTTACAAGTAGAATTTACCAACTGAACCGGAACTCCGCGTTTGCCCTACCCTACTTTGTGAGGGTGGATCCATCCGGACACAGCTTAGTAAGCATGTAGATCTTTACCGAATTCATACTTGATGATGACCAGATAAGGTAAGAAGACAATGAGTGATTGCAAATCAAAGATTTAAGAAGTGAACGTAAACATGAAGATTTTTTTTTGGGGGAGGGGCATGATATCGTATATAAGGCCTCATTTACTTACTTCGGATAGTATCAGTTCATAATCAAGAAATTCATGGGAATCCTTTTAACTTCTACTTTTTATCAGAGCCGAAGACACAAGTTGAAGTGCAAAACCTATAATGGCCTCCCCATTCTACAACTACACTATCGCCACTCTGACCAGGGGTCTCAATACCCTGTCTACTCTCCTAAAGAAGGCCGAAGAATACGCGAAAGAAAAAGACATCCCGCTCGATGAACTTCTCAATGCCCGCCTTGTCGAGGATATGAAGCCTCTCTCCTTTCAAATTGTGACGGCAACAAACGTTGTCTCCAAGGCCCTCGCTCGCGCAGCTTTCGTCGAACCACCACCACAGGAAGAGCCCGACAAGACCTACGAAGATCTGTACAAGCGCCTTGATAAGACACTTGCAGAGCTTGAAAAGGTGGATCCAGCTAAGATCGCTATCAAGGAAGGACAAGCTTTCAAGGCCCCGATTGGAATGAATGTGCTAGATTTCACGCTAGAGGATTATTCGGTGCAATTTTTGATCCCGAATTTCTACTTTCATGTGGTGACGGCTTATGAAATCTTGAGGGTGAAAGGTGTGCAGATAGGGAAGTTGGATTACCTGTCGGAATTTATGGCCTAATCAAGTTGATTAAGCCACATGTGAATTAGAACAGTCTAGGCATACTGCCCTAGATACACTGGGGGGTCAAGAACACATTCCATCTTCCATAGTTGTGAATTTAATCAAGTATATGGATAATTAGGAAAACCCTTTGCCTATTATACTCTAATCGTGGTTTTCGGAATATAATGCGGTCTTCGACCAATACGATTACGGCACTTGTGATCGTGCTACCTAGGTATGTATGATATGCATATTATGCATAGGCATTGGGAGCAACGTACGGAGAAAGTCAGGATCAATACATTCGATTTGTCATAGCAGGCTTGAATATTCATCCGGTTTTTGTTCGTGGAAAATGCCTAGTCGAGGCCAGTTGGTCATATTGGGTAGTGTTGGCCTCATTTGAGATCGGCGGATTGTGATCGGCGGTCTCAACGTCGAGATCAGTTCCACTGATAAACTCGAATTTTATGGCCCATAGACTCTGTCGAATTTTCATGGCATAGATTCTGGAATGACTGGTTAATTGGAGAAGAACAGTATGGAACAAAGTGGATGAATTGGAGAAACTGGGTTATCCATGGATACGTGGGTAAGAAGGTGAAAAGATGATTTCCATGGGTGTACCTGCCCAGGTACCGCCAAGAAACCTAATCCTTCGCCAAGCGCCTTGGCGAAGACCGGCCTTCGTACGGGAAGTGGGTCCTCAGGGCTATCTATTCCGTACTCCGTACGGAGTACGAGGTATGTCCGTACTATGTATGTAACCTTAGAATACCAATGTCCGGCTGGTAGGTGGGGCTATGGGCTAGAAAGGTGTGCTCAATATTTTGCCCTACGGGCTAGGACGGGTGCAGATCATATTACATATTCCACATTGGATTTTATTTCCACGAAACCAAATGTGGATAATGGCCAAATTCAACTTCATTTCTAGGAGATATTCTTGCCACCATCGCCATGTGGACCATTTACGTTATATGTATATAGGTCGATTTTCAAGATTTTGGTTGATCGACCCCATAAGTTACTCTGAATCTATAAACACCCCGAATCTCGTGTAAGCGCACGACATGAAGCATTTCCCTTTTTAGAGCCATGCGATCTGCGGTGATGACAGGGTTCTAGATTGTCGATCAGAGCTCACCCTGAGACCTTGCCATCCTGCGACCCTGCATATATGCAGCTCTTCTGTGGTTCGGGGACTTTATCATTGAGCGAAACATGTTCATCGAGGGAGACTCGGAGGAAGCATGTGAAATTTGTATGCAGATCTACGGATTATATGTACTCTGAATATGCATACAATCACGCTAGGCCATTCGGGATGGCATCGTTAGAGTGGGCTTATCTTGATCAGGCCGGTGGTATTACTGCATTCGGCAATAAGAAATTCGAAAATATTCAGTAGAAAGTTTAATAACGAAAAGCTCAATTGAAACAGGGGTTCGATTGTGACATTCGGCCGTCGTGAAACTGCAATGTCTATCAAAACGCTCGCTTCGGATCACATCATGGCGTCGGGACCATAGTACACGGCATAGGGTCTCTATCTTTAGCCAATACCATCTCATCCAAGAGCATGATGTACAATCCGAGGGCTGAGCTGATCCCTCCGATCATGAACGGAATTCCGTGGGTCAAGCATATGGGGATCGGGGTACCCTGCGGATCTTTTCCTTCTCGGCCCCGAGCGAGTTTGCCGCCATACTTTGTATGAAGGATTTCGGGACCCCAATGAGGTCTGTGATGTAATTTGCACGATGTGGGTGGAACGGGTGGGTATTACTAGCGTATGAGTTGTGAAGGACTTCTCCTTTTGGGTTGTACATTAGGCTGATAGTGGATGGTACTAGGGTACGGGGCAGCATATAAGTCGTGAAGGAGTTCTCCTTTTTAGGATTGAATATCATATTGAGCTGAGAATTTATTTACACTAGAGAGATACACAATGGCGGACTTATCAAGATCTTCGTATGTTTTATCACATTTATGATTTTGTTCCTTGTTCTCCTTTTTGGGTTGTTCAATTGAAGTTTCTTCCTATTCTGACTATCGAACAGGCTTGTAGAACAGCTTCTACACCTCCGCAGTGAGGCATCACACCCAGACTCCTCCCACCGCCTCTCTGCCCTATTATCCACGCATACTGGCCCTTGGCCCATCCGTCACCTAATTCCAACATATCAGGACATCTACAAGTCCATTCCCGAATCCCACAAGACTAATAACAATGAATCAATTACTCGCCTTCGTGCACAAGTCAAAGCAGCCACCCCCAAAGTTGCAGAATTAATAGGCACAGACTCCCGCGCCGGTCTGATCGATGCTAATACTGGACGGCATCTGACACATATTGCCATCCGTCAGTTCTTGGAGAGTTTCCAGATTCCCGTGGGACTCTCCCGGCATGGAAAGCCTCGCATCGCTGTCATCCTGCCTAACGGCCCTCTTATGGCAGTTGCTGTCCTTGCTTTCGTCAACAGGTACACCATTGTACCTATGACAACGAACACGGTACCAGAGCAGCTGCAGACAGATATAGAAAACTCGCAAGCTGATGCTGTTGTCGCGCTGGACGCTGACATCAGCAAGTTGCAGCTGAACAACGGTAGTCGGCCAGTGTTTGGTATTGAGCAGCTTGAAGATATGACTTTCCAGGTGGTCTCTGCACACAATGCTTCTACTGCATACGACCATCCCCCCAATTCTGGGGACGATATCGCAATTATCCTGTTCACCAGTGGTACCAGTGGTACTAAGAAGCTGGTTCCAATCACAACTTACAACCTCATCGCTGGTACCATCGCCACGATGGAGTCAGTGGAATTGTCCGAGACAGATACATGTCTTAATATGATGCCGCTGAACCATGTGTATGTTCCCTATCAAATTATATCATAGGAAAATAACTAACAGTATCAGTGGTGGTATTATGCGCAGTATCTTCTCTCCCATCCTGGCCGGCGGTGCCACAATATGCTGCCCCTCGTTTGACCCCAGCATGTTCTGGGATGCAGTGCAAAGCCCTCATATGACACCAACTTGGTATTACGCCACACCCACGATGCACCAAATGATTCTTGCTGAGGCAGAGCACCGCCCCGATGCTGTTAAGCAAAGCGTCATCAAGTTTATCTGCAATGCTGGTGGTGGCCTTCCTCCAACTCTTGCGGTGCAGCTCCATGATGTTTTCCACTGCGTCGTCCTCCCCAGTTATGGCATGACCGAATGTATGCCCATTGCTGCGCCGCCAAGGGACTATAAGCTTGATCGCCCTGGAACATCGGGAAAGATCGTTGGTCCCGAGGTTGCAATCTTGACCGAGAGTGGCGAGCATGTCTCGCAAAATGGGATGCTCGGACATATCTGCATTCGTGGATCCCCCGCTTTCGAGGGATACCTGACCCCCGATGGTAAGATCGATACCAACGCATTCAACGAATCTGGCTGGTTTGATACTGGTGATCTTGGACACCTCGATGATGACAACTACCTGTATATCACTGGCCGCAGCAAGGAGGTCATCAACCGTGGTGGAGAAATCATTTCGCCAGTCGAAGTGGAAAACGCTGTTCTGACCACGGCCAAGGATCCTGAGTCCCCACTGTATGGCCGCGTCACTGAGACATTGGCCTTCTCTGTCCCAGACGAGGTCCTACAGGAAGTTGTTGGTGTGGTTATAGTCACACCTCCGGGAGCCACTAGGCCAGATCTTCGTCAAATACACGAAGCTTTGCAGCCTATTCTCCATCAGCCCAAGTGGCCGGCTCTAGTTGTATACATGGATGGTGTGCCGAAGGCAAACAATAAGATCCAGCGTATCAAACTCGCAGAGCGGTTGTCCTTGGAGACCTTAACCACGACCACACCCCTGGCAGACCGGCACTACCATGCTGTTTGCCCGCCCACTGGTGCTCCGCTCACTGCATCGATTCAGAGGAAACCGTGTGTTATTGACGAGAACATCATCCGCTCGGTTCTTACCGAGAAAGCAAATACCCCTGACGTGCATGTGCAAATAAATCCACGCGACGGTCTCGCACAAGTTGTTTTGTTTGTCCAGAACCCTGATGATGACCATGTGACACCTGGCGAGCTCCACGAACATCTTGATGGCTACCTCGTACCTAGCCGCATCATTCCCCTCAAAGGTCCGATGCCTCTCGATTTCTACGGAAACCCCGACCAGGCTGCTATCAATGAGGCGATCCACGCCCGCAACTCGGATGGCGACATATCGCCCCCTCAACGCCGTGTGCGTGAGATCTTCGCTGTCGCCTTGTCTTGTGCACCGGAGGAAATATCCTCTGCTACAGACTTTTTCGCGGCTGGAGGTGATAGTCTTAGTGCTGGCCGTTTGGTTTCGCAACTTCGTCGCGAATTTGGTATTTTCCTGGCTGGTGACGTCCTCTTCCATCACAGCACCGTTGGAGAGATAGAGCACAAGATCCTTGAAGCTCTTGAAGTTAAGGCAGCCAAGGGTGACGACGGAGAAGTTGAATTGCCCGGTTGCGAAAAGACCTACAGCAGCACGAACCCAATTATCTTGATCTTGCATCTGTTCCCGACTGTGTTCTTCTTCCCCATGAAGCGCGCCTTCCAGTGGATGATGTTCGCACATGTCGTGGCCGAGTGCTCAAATCGATTCCCCATTCGTGAGAACCTCATCGCTCGTTTGATGCTGGTTGTTTTCGCCGTGATGTCTGCTCGCTTATGTTCACAAATTGTGTCTCCCATCTTTGCTATCACCTTCAAGTGGCTCGTCATCGGCCGCTACAAGGAGGGAATGTCCCCTATGTGGGGCCCGTACCACACTCGGTGGTGGCTGACCCAGAAGGTATTGCAGGTGTGTGGAAAGGGTCTTTTCAACAACTACAACTGGTCCCGCATTCTTTTCTACCGTTTGGTTGGCGCAAAGATTGGAAAGAATGTCACCATGTCTGCATCCGCTAAGCTTGGTGAGTATGATCTGATTGAGATTGGGGATAATGTTGTTTTGGATACCTGCGTGTGTCGCCCCTTCGGCGTGGAGCGCAACACCTCTATGCTTTTGAAGCGTATTCGCATTGGCAAGGACTCGTCTATTGGCATCAAGTCTGTAGTCGCTCCTGGTGCTGATATCCCCGAGAATACCTGCATCGGTCCCAACTCGTCGAGCTGGGAACTCCAGGACGCCGATGAGTCTAACCGCCAATTGCTTACCTCTCAGATCCCTAAGCCTCACTGGCTCTGGATTGTCCTTATTGTCGAGCCAATCAAGTTGATCACATGGACGGCTGCTCGTATTACTTGGATGGGTGGTCTTATCCCTATGGTTCTCGAGTTCCCCACTCCCGCGGCCGACATGTTCCGTTCTACCCTACAGTGGTACACCAGTGATAAGCGAATTGCATTCCACATTGCCGCAAGAATCTGTCGTGCTGTTGGTGGCCCAATTGTGCTCTTCATTGCGGTCTTGATAATCAAGTCCTTCCTAGATCTCGTCTGTGGCAAGCCCAAGCCTGGTCCTGCCTCAAAACAGTCCACTCGCCAAAAGATTCGGAGTGCTGTGCTTGCACAGATTCTACCCGCTGGAGACATCCATGAACTCACCCGCCTTACTGGTCGCCACTACGAATTCGTCTCGATGGCTGTCCGTGCCCTTGGTGGCAAGGTTGGCAGGCATGTCTACTGGCCCAGTGTTGGTCCCGTCACTGTCGACTTTGATCTCATTGAGGTTGGTAATGATGTTGTATTTGGCTCTCGCTCGACTCTGGTCACATCCGACGGCTACGGCCGTGACCGCATCGTGATTGGTGATGGTACCATGGTTGGTGATCGTGTTGTCGCTTTGCCCGGTGCTACCATCGGCCGTCAAGCCATGATCGGCTCTGGTGCTTTGCTCCGCCGTAACGGTGAATACCCTGCCAACACTGTCTGGACTGGTAGCAAGGGTGGTGAGGCTATTCAGTTCCCAAGTTCGACAACCACTTCCACCGCACCAACCATCGTCGGGGATGGTAGCAGCAGTCCCAGCAGCAGCAGCGAAGATGAGAAAACGCCAATTGAGAAATCACCCATTGAGAAGCAGCCCTACTATAGTAGCAAGGATGGGACCGTTACTGAGATCGCTGAGCAGGAGGTGGATACCTGCAAACCTTTCGGCCGCGCCTTCTACCGCCACGAGGCTAGCTATTATGTCCTCCGCATGTGGCAAATCGTCTTCTATTCTACCTTTGCAGTTATTGTCACTACTGTATATTGGCTCCTCACCGTCTTGTTCTCCCTTTTCATTCTGCGCACTATCCTAGACTACAGCAATGCTGCTGGTTTCAAGCAAGGCGCCTGGCGCCCATTCGTCCTGTACGGCACCCTCGCCTCGGTTTTGTCTATCATCACCTCGGCTCAAGTTTTCCTCGCCTTCGGCATCGTTATCTGCATTAAATGGATGGTTGTCGGCCGCCGCAAGGAAGGCGAATACCACTGGGACAAGAGCAGCTACAACCAGCGCTGGCAATTCCTCCTTTCCTGCGAGACTCTGATCAAAGACTGCTTTGACGGAGTTGGCCTTCTGCCCATGATCTCTGGCTCTGCTTACATTTCCTGGTACTACCAGCTCTTGGGCGCAAAGATTGGAAAGGATTGTGCAATTCATGCCAACGGTGCCCCCAGCATCTTCTTCACTGAGCCTGATCTGCTCACTCTCGGTGACCGTGTTGCTGTTGACGATGCCAGTTTGGTTTGCCACTTGAACTCGCGTGGTGGCTTTGAGCTTCACACCTTGAACGTTGGGGACCGGAGTATCCTGCGCGCTGGATCGCGTCTGATGTCCGGTGCTTCTATGGGCCAAGACGCTTGTCTTTTGGAGCATACCCTGGTTTTGTCGGGTGATCATGTTGAGGATGGAGATACGCTCCAGGGATGGCCTGCCGAAGGATTTGAAGGGAAGCGTGTTTAGAAGCTTCAGATTGTTTTTCTTTCTTGGTCCTTTTGTTTTTTTTTTTTTTTTGTTTTTTCTTGGATGGTACATATACTAGAATTTATAGATCGAACTTCTCAAATTTTAATTATTGTTATATTGTTATATTGTTATGCAGAAGACCAAGGGTTCCTTACACGATATTTCTATTTATACGGTATGGTGTTGAAAAATGATAGTTAATACCATTTCGGCTCTTCCTTTATAGTCCCAACTTGGATAATCGTACAACTCTTTGGCTATTCGTAAATAAATATTTCAGGGCAATTTCCTAATTAGGTAGTTCTCCTACTTTGATTTTGCCAATTGCCCTCCCTTCTCTTTCTACACCGCCTCGTGATGTAGTAAGATAGTAGGTACCTGTACTTTGTATGTAAACCACTAATAAAAGTAAGTCACTCTAACATCATTTGATATCTCGTCCTATGTCTCTTCCTTTTTATCCACTACATACATGTGCGTATGTTGTCACCGACTGCTGCGTCAACTCTTTCCTTAACTGATTTTTTTTTTTTTTTTTTACAACTCCTTTATCGCCACAATGGCTTCTCTAAAACAGGAATATCTAATCTGTCACTCAGCTCCTAGGATCGTCGCTGAATCCACACTCCACCTTCCTCCTCCCCACTCCCCCACTCCCACCCCTGGATATTCTAAACGAGACGTTCTAAACGAGACAGGCCACGAGGCAATCGCGCAAAAGGCCCCGAAATCGGCCCCGTGGCCACGACGGTCGAGGACGTGAGCATAGAAAACCAGTATAATAAACTTATACTCGATTAAAGCATGAAGCAGGCAGAATGAGGGAATTTTTACAACAAAATGTTTATTTTGTTTAAAGCTCTTTTACTATACAACCAAGAGTCAATAACGTAGACAGATTATAGGGCAGAATGCATACGCGGCGCCAAGACCGGCATATGGCAGAATTTTCGGACCGACTATCGGAAAGGCGGTACTCAAATTTGAGAGCTTGGAGTCCCGGTCGGGGACCCCGGGGGGGTACGATTATCTAATGGGTGGGTACATAAGCCCTGGCCATCAGGTTGTACCTGATGTATGTATCCATGGATATCAATCTTGGAGCACGCTATATAAAAACCTTCCAAGGCTGGAATTCTTAAGTTTGCCACAGCTCCAAGGGTCCTCTCTGACGTCATAATGTGAGCTTTCTTCACGTGTTATTGAACCCTCGATTTGCGTCATAATTTAGTATCGAATTTGTTATAGACCACAAGACCAGGTGTGTTGGCTTTCCAGCAGGCTGTGAGGGGACTGTGATGGCCAGGAGCCATAATGGATGACTCTAACCGCGTATCTATATTCGAAAGCAAGCGCCATTAAGTTGAGATTACATCCAGATGGCGAGGCATGGGGATTAGAGATTTAATAGATATGCTTTATCCATGTTCACTATTCAAATTTAGCACTAGTAAAGTACTCTGAGGGAACTTAGAATTCATTCGGCAAAGATCACGCACGGAGTACATGCTTTATGCCCCGAGCTAGAATATACATCGGGCCTTCTCTGCTAGACCTATACCTTTACAGCCGACACTCTCTTTGTCATTTCATTGACATTATCCATGGTCCTTGGAACTTTAGGCACTTTATATCCCTCAAGGTAAGGGATGCGATCTTCTTCTGTCAGATAGTAAGCATCGGTATACTATAGTGGTGCTAATATAGCAAGCGAAGATTGCAGAACATACCAAATAGAGCCTTAACCCAAGACTTTGGTGCGGCACCTGCGGCCTCATCCCACAAAGTCACTAAATAAAGAGCTGTTGTACCAGGGTTTCCCATCATTTGCATGGCGGAAGCATTGAAGCGGGGATTGGCCCTCTTGGCCTCGGCCGCGCGTGCCGCACAAGCCTTACCCGCCGTCTCAACGGTGATATATTGGTTCGCCTCAGGTCCGAGAGTATCATAAAGATTGAGGTTCTTAGCGACCGTCGCCCAAATGTTAGGATCGAAGTGCACATTGTCGCCAAAGTAGATGTCATTGCGGGACAGTGACCCATCGAACTCGATCTCGTCGTGTCTTGCTAAATCAAAGAGGTTGAAGGTCGATTGGTTCCCCGTGGTTGAGAGGTTGAAGTTCAGCGCTAACTCGAAAATCCCGTCCATCGTTGTGGGTTCGTAGTTATAGGCGCCAGCTATGGCAGATTGGAACGCAGGTAGATCGATGTCTTTTCCTGAACGATGGAGCCAGCCGTGGTTGGCCAAGGCATTCAGACCAGGGCATGGAGACCGACTGTCGCTTGGCAGTGGTGGACGGAATTCATGGCCTTTATGCTCCCAGCCGTACGAGCTGACTGCAAGGGTGAACAGAACTGCTTTGAACAAACTTGACTTCATAGCGAGTTGGATTGATAGCGGTATGGTAGATTCGTAAATAAGTTTGTGAAACCGATGTGATGGTCTCTCCAGTTTGACATGTATGAGCCCTTTTATATCTGAACATTGTCGCACTGTAGACTAGCCCATGGTCAACGAGCGTATCCAGGACTAAGATCAATCACATAGGGCGTATTCTATACGCGATGGATGCAGAGTATCCAGTCAGAATAATTATTCACGTTAAGCTTTGTGGGTAGTTGATGTAGGAAACCCTGTGGAGTTGAGACCATTCTTCCAAGATTCTCCAGGCTTCCAGTAAGCCTGCGGCGCAGCTCAAGCCCACGAGGTCTGTAATTTCTTCAATCTTGAATTATGAGATAAATGATTATTAGTACACATACCACTTCAAAACGACAGATGACCCACATATCAGGATCCATAGCCCTATCAAATCTATCAAAGCAAAGCTATGTTTTCACTATGCTAAGCCACTCAGATGCCTGTAAAAAAAAATCATCGGGGCACAGAGTACTCCGGAGAGAGGAAGAATTCCATAAAAGTGGATCACCGGCGACCCCTATTTCTTCGTCGCTGAAAACACATTGCTGGGATTACCCGGACGATCGTCGCTTTGACGATCGTGCGATTGATAAGGCGCCTTAAGAATACAGGTTCCACAGACAAGTGAAATGGCGCTAAGTGTGCCCCTTGTTTGTGCAGCATGTGCATTTTGCTATGCTCTCGCTTGTGTAAAATGCAGAAGAGCTCGTGTCCACACGCATGTACAAATATAAAGGAATTAATTTAATCTACTGTTAAAATAGTATTTATAGTAAATATATAGTAAATATATAGTAAATATATAGTAAATATATAGTAAAAGTGCGTGTACAACATACCAAGTAAAATAAAGACGTAGGAAGCGGAAATACCAAAAAAGCCATGCTAGTCCTGATTAGGACGTAAGCATGCACTCTCTCTGATAAGGCGGCAGGTCGGGTTTACAGAATACGCTTGTTGCCAATAAGGGGTAGAATCGGTAGATGCCTTTGGGACTCGTGTTCCAACTGTCCCATGAATTCTTAGAAAAGCGAATAATCGGGATAAATTTTCCGTCTATTTGTATGTATTCCACACTCTTTGAATAGTATTTGTCAAGCTGACAAGTTTAAGCGAATACGCACTTGCAGGACTTTATCACGCGTCTTCTCTTGGCAGTTATCGCGGGAACTTGAATACTCACTCAACAAATGATTTACCGGTGTGAACCAACCGTATACACCAGGGGGTGAAAAGTGGCTTGAGCTAGGGGATTAGAAGACCTTTGGAATTGTTCTACACATGAAATACTTGTAGTGCGGTGTCCCTGCGGCAAAGTAGGAAACATTTCGTCTCTCTACTTGAATGCCAAGCATCGAGACATGAGGGGCGCAGCACTTGCTTAGAAACCACTTAATCTCCACTTGGGCACAAGGCTGTAGTTCACAGCCTCAATCTCCGTACTCCCAACCATTCATATTACTGATGTCTACGGCTGACTTCTGCCATGTAGTTAGTAATCGCCCAAGACTTTGGTTTCTAGCATAATACAAAATTGAATGAGACGGTATTTGGAATTATCAGAGAACTCCACAGCTAGACCAAGGAACTAGGAAGTGAGTTTGGTGGTAGGATTGACAATTCCAGAAACGAGCCTCAATATGATCCTTATAAGGGCCTGCTGGAAGTCCATTATTCTAATGTCTCTCACTTACCTTGAAATCCTCACTCATGGACAAATCACACTAAAACGATAGTTGTACCAATATGAAGACGCGCAGGTCACATAGAAAGTCACGATATGGTTGCGAGAAATGCAAGGCCCGCAGAATCAAAGTACGCATGGCATATGGAAAAAGGGCATGGTAATAGTTATCTAATATCGGTATACAGTGCGATGAACTCGAGCCAAAGTGCTCAAGATGCAATAAGATGAATCTGATGTGCCAATACCCACGAAGATCCGACATTCTATCACCTGACCGTAAATCGAAGCAAGCAGAGCTCTTACTACAACATGGAATTTCACCCATAAACTCTGAAGCAAATAGCTCTGCAAGTTCACATTGCTCGCCAGCGGTTGTCGGAAGCCCAATATCATCACCGGCGGTTCCTTTCTCGCAATCAGCGCACAACCTGATGAGTGACGATAGACACCTCAACTCGCTCTTGCAGCCACAAACATCACAGATTCTGACGCCCACAGAATCCACGCTGCTCAGTCACTATCTCGAGCACACTTCCCAAGATATGACCGTGGACGACGACGACCGATACACTTTGCAGGTCGGAATTCCGAACCTAGCTTTCCGGAACAAGCTCCTCATGAAATCTGTCCTCGCATTCTCGGCAGTATGTAAATGCTGCGATATCATCAATCAGCCGTCAATATCATATGGAGACCGTGAGCGAGTCCTGGTGCTTCTCTCTATTGCAGATCAATATCATATGGAATCACTGCGCGAGATCCAAGCGACACTAGCTGAGACTGATCAATACGACCATATTCTTGCAAATGCAGCTATGATGGGAATGTATGGATCAAGCAGCCACTGTATCAGAATCTGGCTAGCGGAAACAGCATCCGACAACGACCTAGAAAGGGAGAGGTTTATGCCAAAAGGTTGCCAATGGATTAGTCTCTTCCGCGCCGTGCGCGTGGCCTATACAGGATTATTCAACGACAAATTTAAAGCAGAGGATCTCGTTCAATTTGCCCCAGCCACATCACCTACTGACCCTATGGCAAGCTGGGACTTTCAGATCCGTTGCAAATGCAAGGTGAAATCTTGGGGTGAGCGACAAAAGGAGCCTCAGGATCATGCTTTGTATCCTATTCTAGCTGCTACGGTGGTATCCGCACTGAAGGGGTTACGAAAAAGGGCCAAAGAAATCGTCCGAAACGGGATGGGTGGCTATCGAGACCGGGATATACCAGCCATCCATAACGACTCCGATGTTCAAGCATGTTTTGCTGCGTTAGAACTATTTGAAAATATTGTATCCAAAACCTTCCCGGATAAGGAATTGATGTCAAACACGCCAGGCCATCCTCATCTCCATTCCGAAGTCGATCTTAGTACAGTTGGAAAAGCTTCCAAAGTTTCGCCTTGGATGCGGAGATACGCAGCTAAAATAACTTCGATAATCCCGTCGGAGCTTCCGCGAAGGTTCATTATGGCATTTGTTCACAAAGCTCCTACGAGATATTTGAGCTTGGTTGAAGACATGATGGGTCTCATGCAAAGCGGAGCACCGTGTGGACATGGAATAACTAGGTGCTCCTTGAATCCCATAAATTTGGAGCCTAGTATACCACACCAGCTAGCTATGGATATATTTGCCCATTGGCTTGTTCTGGTTATGTTACTAGACAAGGTGTGGTGGATTGGTCGCATTGGGGCCTGGGAGCTTGGGCAACTTATATCCCTTAGGCAAGATACGCGATGGTGTATGTCTCTGTGGAAGATAGATGGTGATTGGTGGCCGGAAAGTATGTTTGAAATCAGCAGACAGTTCAATAAACACCGAGCGAATGATGAAGTATGATTTAAGAGACAAGAAGATCAACCGCGCGAAGAAAAGTCATTCACTAGCGGTTTTGGCGTGTATTCACACATGGTACATCTAATTACGTCCAAAAAGGAGAAGCAACACGCCAAATTGAACCATCTCTGACTTTTTTGCCCGGTTAGGTTACCTTGGAGTCGACATAATTGGCTTTGAGTTTTCGGTGATACTGTTCTTGTTCAAAATATCCTGATGGTCTGATTTAAACTTTCTGGCTAGAGGGTTTATCACATCGAGCCTATGATAAAACCGTGTGATTTTAAGATTGTTGTAAGAGAGGAAAGACAATCAGCAGGGTATCCATTGGAACTCGATTTTTTATTATAGTCGCAGACTGGAACATGAAGTTTTGTCGTCCCTGGAATGAATATTTACTCTGTTCCCATGATGTATACAATGCATTGTTCATAGATGAAACTAGACACACTGAAATGATGGGTTCAGAGGGCGAAAAGCTATCACATATATTTCATGAGGTCCATCACTCATCTGAGGTTATTTTCCCATGCTCTCTTCGTTCTTTCCATCTCACTCAACATGGAGGGTCTTTTTTATCGCTGCTGTGGCCATTGGATTTACAATCGCGGTGCTATATGTGTTCAAAACTTTTGATGAGTACCGGCAACTGACTGCCACCAAAGAGCTACGCTCTCTCCTTGCAAAAGCGGATGCACTAAGAACCACGCTTTATTGGACCACAACCTCTGTTGAAAACGCCTTGAGACGAAACCTGGTCGCCTTCAAGCACATTGCGAAGATGTTCAACAATGCGGTTCACAGGATCTGTGGCGAAACAGACCACACGTCGACGAAAGAACAATAGAATACCCAAAACTGGACATACTACTAATGGCTAGACGGTGATTTTCTTGATTTCCCTGGCGATTAGTGTAAATAGTTCACTACCCAACACGACAACTTGAATCGAAAAACAAATTGAAATGTGACTGACTATTGTCTGGGATTCGGGGAAACACAATAATCCTCACGCAAAACCTTCTCGATTTTGTGTATCATTCAATATAATTACTACTTACAGCACACTCCTCTTTTCTCCTTTTCCTTAGATTTCCTTGGTGTCATATATTCGGTTTGTGGTTTGGATGCTAGTTTGATTGGTGGAAGATATATTTGGCCACTTGATACTAAATGTCCATCTCTTAAACGCTTCAAATATAATTGAATCCTAGGTCATACTTGGCGAGGAGATAAGGAGATAAAGGGCAGGGTTTACGTGAGCTCTCGGTTGTAACATGCGGTGGGCGAAAGCTCTCATTTGAAAACGCCTAGCCTACAGCCATGTGTGAAAGTACCGTGCAGGTTCACTTCCTTGTGGTGTATCGAATTTCCTCCAATGGGAATTTGTACTAACGATGTATGTTTGCCGCCTCTTGCGTAAAAATAAATTCTCTACCCCACGCCAATATGCCTACCCCGCAAAATTACTATTTAGGGCACGGGTAATGCGGGGATAGTGATAATCTGCGCAGGAGACTAATGTGTCCAGAGAGCGCCACATTATGCGCTGAATCATGCTCCATAGCCAATCCAAATCCCACTGAGTCAGAATATGGCTTAGCCTCATCAAATATATTAAATCTACTTCTTTGGGGTAAATATTGTTAGGTTTCCTTTCCGCAACGAATGTCCCCAAAGGCAACAGCTACAAGATCACACTCAACGCAGACTGATTCTTTGTTTACCTGCTTGGGATAATATTCTATAAGCTAAAGACGTTTATATATATATGGAGAATAAAGACATGGAATCTTATCATTCTTTGCCGGATACGGTCGACAAACTGCTTCTGACCCCCACGTAAACTTCCATTATCCATACAGAAGGATGGAGGGATCTTACCTGCATACAACCTGTAAGAGCTTTTTCTAGGCAATCAATTGAGCTGACGACAGCCATACATGAAATGCGGGGAATCTCCCAAAAAGTACCATTACAGAGGTCTCGGCTTTGTACTATTTGAGACGTGACAGCGATGGTCAACTCGGAAAATAGAACGATATAATCAGCAGTTATTCTTTGATGTGTGAAAAAGACCATGGGATTGCTATTTTCACTGTGCTGATATAATATGCGAGATTTGGGAGACACATTACTTGCAGTGCGTCGAGGACGAAATACTTTTTTGACGATGACGAACTCTGCTGTTAGCCTCCACGGGCGACAGATGTGCCACTGCGGAATTTGGTCCTATTGACTATTACTGTCACCAACAGTGACTTAAATACTGCTACGTATATATAGTATTATATGATTATAACACCTAATCTATTGATTGGCCTCACCTATCGAGCCTGTCAGAGAAAATGTTTTGGTGCTACAGGAAGGGAAATATTCACTAATGAATCGACGAACATATACTTACTCTGACTGTATGGAATACTACTGAAAGGAGGAGAAAGTAGGTGATATATCATATATCTACGTTGTACATCCACATATGCATGATCTTGACCAATACAACGGAAGTTCCGCCTAGCACACTTAGTCGTCCGGAAGCCACGCAAGAGCGTTTGAACTCTGTCTCCGCGCGCGGGGTCAATGTACGGGATCATTGGCTGTCTATATGACTTGATTTGGAGAAATTATTTGGGGAAACTGGCTCTATAGATACTTTCATGGACACCAAAGCAAAGCTATATAAGCTCCCCCAGGAGGTCTCATCAAAAGGTTGATTACTACCCCAAGAACCTTTTTAGCAACTATTCTCAATTCAAATCTTCTGTCAATATATTCATAGTCATGACTATCCCAGATGAGGTTGATATCATCATCTGCGGTGGCGGCAGTTCGGGATGTGTCCCTGCTGGCCGCCTAGCGAACCTTGATCACAATCTTTCTGTCTTGTTGATTGAGGCTGGAGAGGATAACTTGAATAATCAATGGTGAGGACTCCGAGGCTACCACTTTCAGGGAATGGATTCTCATCTCAACCTAGGGTGTACCGCCCGGGTATATACCCGAACAACATGAAGCTTGACTCGAAGACGGCATCGTTTTATCAATCCAGGCCATCTGAACATTTGGATGGTCGTCAGGCAATTGTTCCGTGTGCCAACATTCTTGGAGGTGGCAGCTCTATCAACTTTATGGTAAGTGATGCCCGTTTGAAGTTTTCTTTTGTCCAGTGTTCCCAGGCTGAATGTGTTGAAGATGTATACCAGAGCTTCCGCGTCCGATTATGACGACTTTCAGGCGAAGGGCTGGACAACCAAGGAACTTCTTCCATTGATGAGGAAGCATGAGACATACCAACGTGCTAGCAATAACCCGGAACTGCACGGCACCGACGGACCTATCAAGGTGTCATTTGGAAACTATACTTACCCGATCAAGAATGACTTCCTTCGCGCGGTTGAGACGCAAGGGATTCCATTCACTGATGACTTGCAGGATTTGAAGACTGCGTATGAGGTCCACACGATAGATCGTCCATTGTATCTTGCTAACGGAGAGTCATAATATTACAGCCACGGTGCCGAACACTGGTTGAAATGGATCAATCGTGACACAGGTAAGAAGAATAGTCTAATTCCGTCTCGGTATCATTACTTCTCTGACACTCGATATTAGGACGACGAAGCGATGCAGCCCACGCTTATGTCCACAGTACCCGTGCCAAGCACAGCAATCTTCACCTTCAATGCAATACTAAAGTTGAGAAGGTGATTGTTGAAAATGGTCGTGCTGTGGGAGTGGTGACAGTCCCCACTAAGCCTCTGAACGGCGGAGAGCCAATCCGCAGGATCTTCAAAGCCCGGAAGCAAATCATTATCAGTTCAGGCACAATGAGTTCCCCACTTATTCTGCAGCGGTCCGGTTTTGGTGACCCTGAGAAGCTGCGCCGGGCTGGCGTTAAGCCCCTAGTTAACCTACCAGGTGTGGGTCGAAACTTCCAGGACCACTATCTTACTTTCTCAGTTTACCGCGCCAAGCCTGACGTTGAGTCATTTGATGATTTCATTCGTGGAGATCCCAAAGTTCAGAAGAAAGTCTTCGAAGAGTGGGATAAGAAGGGCACAGGTCCATTGGCCACTAACGGTATCGATGCCGGAGTCAAGATTCGGCCTACCGAGCAAGAGCTCGGGGAGATGAAGAAGTGGCCTACCCCAGACTTTACGGAGGGCTATGAGTCCTATTTCCGGAACAAGCCCGATAAGCCCGTCATGCATTACTCGATCATTTCTGGGTAAGGATTTAACCCTGTTCGCTTCGAGTGTCACGAGGCTAACCCACACATAGGTGGTTCGGAGACCACATGCACATGCCTCCGGGCAAGTTCTTTACAATGTTCCATTTCCTGGTATGGTACAAACTGAGCAAATCAGATCGGCCAGTGCTGACAATATATTAGGAATACCCCTTCTCCCGTGGACACACCCACATCCAGTCAGCCGACCCTTACGAAGTTCCTGACTTTGATGCTGGTTTCATGAATGACAAACGTGACATGGCCCCTCTGGTCTGGGGATATATCAAATCCCGTGAGACCGCCCGACGCATGGGATCGTACGCTGGAGAGGTCACTGCGATGCATCCTCAGTTCGCGTTCGACTCGTCGGCACGAGCGCAAGATATGGATCTGGCGACTACCAAGGCATACGCCGGCTCGAACCATATTTCTGCTGGTATCCAACACGGTATGTTCTCGTTTTTTTCCAGGCGCGGTATCCCGTTCGGCTAATCAAATGAATATAGGTTCTTGGACCACTCCGTTGGAACCTGGAAAGCAGCCCTCGGCTTCAACTCTCAACTCCAATAGACATGAGGCTCGTCCTTCTTTGGAGTATAGCGAAGATGATATTAAGCACATTGAGAAGTGGAGTAAGTGTCAAGTATTGTAATCAGTAACCCCCCGGACCATGGTGTCTAACCCCTTTGCTGCAGTTTCCCGTCATGTCGAAACAACCTGGCACTGCCTTGGCACATGCAGCATGGCTCCGCGAGAGGGCAATTCCATCGCACCCCATGGTGGCGTTGTTGACGAGCGCCTCAACGTTCATGGTGTCAAGGGCCTCAAGGTTTGCGACTTGTCTATCTGCCCTGACAATGTGGGCTGCAACACTTTCAGCGTGAGTCTCTATTGCTTCTGGAATTTTGTCACGTACTGACTATTACACCCGATAGACTGCTCTCCTTATCGGTGAAAAGTGCGCAGTCCTGGTTGCGGAGGACTTAGGCTATTCCGGAGCTGATCTGGATATGAAGGTCCCAACTTACCATGCTCCAGCAGAATTCTCCAACCTTTCTCGCCTTTAAGGATCTTTTTTATGTGAAACGAAGAACATGTTCTAGGATATTTCATTCTCTTCAGCTAGAAGAAACAAGTATGTCCCTATGTCAAATTGGATTAGTACAGCGATGCAATAACAATCAATTGGAAAAGAAAAGAAAAGAAAACGGTGGAAACATTTGTAGTCGCCGCGGAGGTGAAATAACACATTGCTAGAAAGAACAAGATGAAAACATACAACAGCATGTGTACCAGGGCACTTAGGGCAGATATTCACCAACCTGAATATTCCTCACCCAAATATCCAGCCTGTACAGCAAAAGGTACATTTCTCATAATGAGTAAAAAGCTATAAGTATCCTTCTTTCCCCCTGCTTTTTTACCTCTCCAGCGTCGCTTTGTCACCCTAACACCACTTTTTCGCGAGCAAGATACGTACTAAGCATGACCCAACGTTGAAATATACAGCTAATGTTATAGATTTTAGGGAGCATAGTAACAATAAGATCCAGCTGGTCAGCTTGCGTCGGCGTCGGGTAGGCACTCGTCACAGAATCCGAGTCCCCTTTTTACCACATCAACCACTCCACCGGTCGCATTTCCTTACTGGGACACCTCAGACGAGTCAACGATCACAGGAAAAAGCAAACAGAGTGTCATGATCTCAGTCTCATTGCAGCCCCGAGGGTGAGATCAAGGATGGCGTCGGTGGATTCTCCGGGGCTCCCGATTCTTGGCAGAATAGGGACTCGCCTCCTTTGAGGTTTTTGTTCCAATCGGGTTGACTGTTGAATTTCGTGAATTCTCGGCCATGTACTCGATAGCTTCTCCCAGAATTGCCAACAGTATGGTAAACTGGGCGAAGATCCGCCATAAGTTTTCGTAGAGAAGATACTGCGGCGTTTCTCTTAACATGCGATCGCCTTAGAAAGGCAATCACAAAGCCATGGCGATACACGGGGATTGTAGTAAAGGTGCTGGTTATGGGAGACTTTCATCGCCATGATGAACTCCGAGGAGGTGACGCAATCAGGACGTGCCCCTGGGAAGGCAAGGTCCATGGGCGAAGCGGATCCGATCATCGGCCTCATGAATCGACTTGGGTACTCCCAGCAGCGAAGCATGTGCCTATATATTCCAGATTTCATTGAAGTCACCTAGCTCGAAGGGCTCCAAGTCAAAAAATTGCGTTGGGGAAATCAGAAGGCTATCATCAACCTCCGTATTAGAAACACCTATAGGCGAGCGAATTGATTCCGTCCGACCCATAATAGAAGGCTCATTCAAATTTTGCCCAATATTCAACATGTGATTGCTCGAACTTGGCGCTGGGGTGACTGCAGGCGGGATATTTAACTCTAGAAACCGGGATGTTGATATCGAGACGCCATTCATGTCGTGTTGACTCTCGGTGCCAATATTCCGTATATCGAGTATATCCCAAAGGGGATCAAGGTCCATACAGATACTTCCGTCATTTTCAAAAGCGACTTGGCGTAATGCAATAAGTGATTCTTCGAGCTTCTTGAGTTTGACGACCTACCACATGTCAGTATGGGGGAATGAAGCCATGGAAGCAGATATTACCATCATAGCCATGGCTGGCCAGACCTCGCCGGCTTTTTCGACAAACTCGACACATTTGATGAATCTCTTCCGCTTTTCTTTCCTGACACTGGCATCTGTAGAAAAGCTCAGGTGCAGCTCGATGGTTGCAACAGCGGCAACGCAATATCCAGCCAAAGGGTCTGTTAAACCGAGATCTTCTGATTCGACAATTGAAAGAAGATCCTTCACCCAGTGCGTATGATGTGAAATCAGAAATGATGTTTGTTGTAGGTATATCTCTGGTACATGGTCATACCCTTGTACTTGCATCATAATCATCAAAGGGTGGTTCAAGAGACACACAATTGTGTGGTATACAAAACGGGTAAGAAACCACGGTGCCCAATATTCCCGATTCAGCCCAAGCTGCTCCATTTTGACTGATTTGAAACGATGAATTTGTGGCTGTTTGGCACAAATTTGTGTGAAATAGAACATCTGTTTTGAATATTCTGACTCCATGGACCATACCGGACGAGAGCCAAGTCTGCCGTGTCCTCGTACGTATATGCACATTTTGGACCACGCTGAACTTAGATTGATGAGAACCGCCATGATGCCCTGCTGGGGATCACTTAAGATATGCCTCGGAATAGAAATTCCCTGAACCATGCTCTGTGGTATGGAACGACTGGCTGGCAATCGCGGAACAAGCTCCACAAAGCTCGTCATATCGGCGGCAGTGTAGAAGTTCTGAACAAGTATCGCGTTCCACGAGCATCTGATTAGTTCTTCGTCAGACGAGCCGGTTAAAGATGAGGTTTGAAGTTTTTTTGAGACTGCGTTTTGAACCAGTGTTAATCCTAAATTGGCGTGAATCGCGAATTGCTCTCGGTTGCCGCCTAAAAGGTAATCAGCATAATTTTGGAGGTTTGCACGGTAGATAGACACACAAAGTATGTCAAGATGACTCAACAGAAGAAGTGTCTGGATGGTAGAAAGCTCCACCCTGCTACCCGAAACCCGGGCGAATGCAAGAACATGCGCAGTGTCCGAATAACCCTTTGACCTCTCCTGCTTAACCTCGAGCGATATCGGCTCCCGAGAGAAGTGAATAGCTATCGCTACCAGCGCGTAGATAAGTTCAGAGCTGCGACTCTCCAGGCTTGAAATGAAAGAGTCACTCTCGAACATTGGAAAGGGCTGGTTTTCCACAAACTCTAGGTATATTCGACCAAAGCTGATAACTTCACTCCATGGTGGTAAGACAACACCCTCCGAGATGACAGGGGCGACTGGTGCACATCGATCAGCTGGAGTTGCAGTCTGTGCCATTAGAGGTGGCCTGTCGTGAATGTTAGCGTGGCTATCCTCTGCCTAGCCTCACGCCGTATAAAACACTGACCGGACACTTTTCATGTGAGTAATCCCCATAGCAGAAATCGTGTTATTTCTTGGGGCTGATGGTTTCTCAATCCGCCCGGGCAGGCGATATCCATGTTTCCGGCCCGGTACTCCCAATGATGGGCTGTAGGAGCATAATTGGTCTAGACTCTGGCAACGAGAGCATTGGGGCCGCTGCCCGCAGCATTTCGCCTTTTTCCTCCTGAAGTCATGAGGTCAGTTGCAGGGTGTGGGTTGGATATCAGGACGACATGACCCACCGGCATGGTTCACAAGCTTGTCTAAGACGTGATTTGACAGGTGATTTTGCTCTTGCTGCTTGGTCGCGCGTCTCATCCATATTCAAAGCGGTCCACGGGTTGTTTGGGGATGCCAAGACACGGAAGCGGGATATTAAGTGATTGGTCAAATCAACAAAATCCCGTGACTTCCACCGGACCGGGCCGTTAATTTGTACTTCCGTCTCCGATGTGAGCATCTGGCTTGACACCAAATAGCCCGGATAGTTGCCTCTACTTATCAGATTCCGATCGATGCTAAACATTTCATTTCAATCACCTCATTCGCTCGTTGTTGACCAGAGAATTGCGCGACAACTGAATTTGAGCACGCCACGGTCATGGTTCCCAGAAATATATATTTTGAAATTCGGTTTCCACCTGTGCTCCAAGGTTGGACTTTTTGTGAGACTTTTTGTGAGATAGCTGCAAAATGATACCTCTCTATTGGAAATCCTTGCTACTTCTGATTTCAGTGCTTCAACCAGTGTATGCGGATTGGCAGTTCCGTTCTCGACCCGACCTGTCGCCACCAAGGTTGAATATCACTGTGCCTGCTCAGCCAGCGGTCGAAAAAGGATTGATCTTCGTCGCTCAGTACCATGGCTTTGAAGAAGGCAGTTCTGGACCTGAGCAGCCCGCAGCTTATATCTTTGAAGATAATGGTGACCTAGTCTGGTCGAGTGTCGGTCACCTAGCCGGTTGGATCGCTGACTTTGGACCAACCGTCGTGAACAATGCGCTGGTTTTGCGAGCTTTTCAGGGAATACTCGATGGTCCTCATGGTCGCATGTATGGCGATCATGTTCTTCTGGATGAGCATTACAGGACTATCAAGGTGGTGAAGCCAGCTTCTCATCGACTTGTCTCCTGCCATGAATTTCAAGTAGTCAATGGAGAATCTGTCCTGATGGAGACCCCAGTTGCCGTCCCTATTAATTTGAAGCCATTTGGCGGAGATGCCTCTCAGAGTTGGATCGTATCGAATGGTTTCCAAGGTATTTGAAGTCCCTGGATCTTTCCAACGCTATGTCGAAACCCAGAGACTAATCGGAGAGTTGATCGCATACAGAAGTGGATATATCTTCTGGAAAGCTATTATTTGAATGGTACAGCCTGGATCATGTCAATCCAGAATGTGAGTGGTTTGATTTGAAAAAGAGACGATCTTATATTAACGGTAGCATAGATTCCGCATTTCCCCTTGAGAGCGAGGGGGTCTTCAAGGGTACAAGCTCCCTGGACGCCTGGAATTATTTCCACATAAACAGTGTGGATAAAGATGATGAAGGAAACTATCTGATATCCGCACGCAACTACGCTGCAATTTTCAAGATCAATGGGACAGATGGTGAAATCATCTGGCAACTAGGCGGCCGTCGTGGTTCCGACTTTGACGTGCCGTCGAATGTCAAATTCGCTTATCAGCACGATGCCCGATTCCGGTATCGCTCACCCAACGGATCAATTGAACACATCTCATTCTTCGATAACGCCGATCATTCAGCCCCCGGTCGATCTATCAATCCCTTCTCTCGAGCCCGGTTTGTGGAGCTTAACCACGAGACTTTAACGGCAACGGAGATCCATACGTACCGGCCGCCTGATAATCTGGTAACCCACTCTCAAGGAAACTTGCAATTTCTGGAAAACGGCAACAAGTTTGTCAACTGGGGCCAGGCTGGAGCTGTTACTGAGTTTTCAGAAGATGGAAATGTCCTTTTCCATGCCTATCTTGACTCTGGTGACAACCGAAATGTACAGAGCTACCGGGGCTTTCGCGCAAATTGGAGAGGATTCCCCGACGAAGAGCCTGCTGTGTTACCCATTCTAGACTCAAAAGAAAACCTCTCGGTTTTTGTGTCTTGGAATGGTGACACCGAAACAAAGTTCTGGCAGTTTTACTTGCAACGGGCTGGTACAAATAGTGCCTTTTTATTGGGAAAGCAGAAAAGAACGGGGTTCGAAACCAAAACCAGCATTGATTTTAGTAACATCCGGAGCAAAACTGGGGACGAAAAAATTTTCGCCGAGGCGTTCGATTCTCAAGGAAGATTTCTCAGAAGAACGGTGCCTGTCACCATAAAAAGCCATCTTCCTGATTATTTACAGGAGTCGAGCGGAGGCAGACTGGATCAAGGAGATGGTTCTTTTAGGGCACAGTACCCTTTGAGACTTTAGAGGGGACTTTCATACACTGTAGACACTCAGGATTGCTTGATTGGTGTATTTGAACCAATATAAGATTCAAAGCTTAGTGGTAGACGTGGAAGTGCCGAAATTTGTAATTTCTCGAAAACAACGATAAGCCCAATCTGGCGTAATTGAAAACAATTAAAGTCAAGTTTCGAATCTGCTTCAACATAAAATATCCATTGATGTGTAAAAATGGATCGTTTGGACTAGACATGTGTGGTGGTTTGTAGGTGGCGGCAAGTCTCCCCTGAGCATTGGCATTTCCGAGACCACTTGGGTACTGAACAAGGAAGAAGTAAGCAAAAAGAGATTGGTAGGAGAGGATATGAGTTGTTGGGCAATTGAGACTAATAATGGTGTGATCTTGTAGTCTGAAGTAGTTGGAAAGGTAGAAATATAATAATCCCCCTTCTCCCATTTCCATTTCTCTCACTTCAATTTCCCCCTTCTGTCCTCCCCGCGCTTCGAACCAACCAAGTCTTCATCAAATATTCCGGGCTCCAGATATGCAGCCAAAGTCAGCCGGCTTGTCGAATTACGAGCTCAGGTTTCCCTCGGAGGGAAGCCAAGCATCGGAAGATAGTTTTGAGCTTGGAGAAGAGCGTCGAGTCCGCCGAAAGTGAGTGAATACGGGTAAATGAACCAGTGAATAGAGCTGAACATCTAACCAGGGTTGACGTGGTCTTATTGCCCATATTAGCTCTTGCTTTTTTTGCACTGCAACTAGACAGAGGAAACATGAGCGCCGCTTTGACATCAACGATTACACAAGACTTGAAAATTACCACAAATCATATCAACATTGGACAGCAGTTATTGTCTGCCGGTATATGCATCACTGAGATTCCATCAAATATGGCCCTTCAAAGATTCGGCCCAGTAAGATGGCTCTCTTTCCAGATACTTGCCTGGGGACTTGTGGCGACCCTACAGGCATTTGTGAAAGGTTATCCAGCTTTCTTAGCCACAAGACTCCTCTTAGGCCTCCTTGAGGGAGGCTTTATACCAGGTCAGAAACCTTTCAAAGAAAATCTGAATGACATAATAACTGACGCTCCGGGTAAAGGGGCGTTGTTCTATCTATCTTCATGGTACAAGAAGAACGAGACAACTTTGAGGGTATCTCTCTTTTTCTTTGGTCAAATGTTTTCAGCTGCCACTTCTAGTTTGATTTCCGCTGGAGTGTTGAGGTTGAGTGGGCGCGGTGGCCTATCAGGCTGGCAATGGATATTTTTAAGTAAGTCGTTTGGGATGAAATCTGATTGATATGGTTTAACATTATTTCACAGTTGAGGGTCTTGTGACTTTATTTATAGCGATCGTCTTTGCCCTTTTTTCACCAAGCGACATCGGCAACGGCCAACCGTTGATAAGCCGAAAACGCTGGAGCTACTTTACAGAGAGGGAATCGTATGTGATCCGTACTCGGATGCAGCTGTACGACGATGGAAATACAGCTCCGGGTAAAGTCAAGATCACTGTTCGAGATGTGTGGAATACAGTTCGCCGACTGCACGTACTACAGCATTGTCTCTTTACACTGGTCTCCATGTCTGCGCTATCGGGCCTGTTGAACTATACCCCTAGTATTATCAAGTCGTTTGGATTTGATGCAGTCACGGCAAACTCTCTGGCTTCTGTTCCAATTTTCAGTGCCATGCTCTTGATTCTGCCTATGTCTTGGCTAAGGTAAGTTGATTATGAATTCTTCTCTTAAAATCTTCCTTACTCTTGCTTTTCGTTCGATAACTAGTGATTGTATCAAATACCGCGGGCTGTTGATCTTCATTCCCACCACCTGGAATGTTATTGGTTATGCTTGTATCCGATGTATGGCTGTGTCATCAACAAAATGGCATAAATATGCTGTTTTCGCAAGTGCAAGTGCGAGTTACGCCAACATGCAGTACGGTTTTTCCAGAAATACCTATAAGTTTCCCATTACCAGCTAACATTATACCTTAGTATACTGAACGTCTCTTGGCTTTCTGTTAATTGTAAATCCCCCCAAGAACGAAGCATTGCGATGGCGTGAGTGATAACTCCCTGATCTGAGTGAATTCAGTCTCATGAAAATCACAGGTTGATAATAATGGCTGCCAATGCATCAGGGATCTCGGGGTCTCAGATCTTTCGAACGTCTGATCAACCACTATATCGCCATGGTTTAACAGCAATTTGCGCGTTGAGCGGAACGTCATGGGTACTACTGGCAGTCCTCAATCTCTATTACGCCTTGAAAAATGCGAGAAGGTCGTGATGATATGGTTTAAAAAGGCAGACTAGGCCATTGAAACCCTAGAGCTTTGTCTTCTGGATATAGATACACATATTGTGACGCTCCAGAGAATGATCAAGAACGAAGAGATCAACCGGAAAAGCATTTTGCAAATCCTGAGGTCGAGCATATCGCGGAAAACGTTAATATTAACATTTTGATACGAAATATATGTTTGAGATATATACGAGAGTACTACAACTTTTTAAGCTAACTTTATGGTTGATAAATTATCCAATCAACCGTTTTCTCGCGTTTTTGAAAGAAGTATGTAAATTGAAGTAATAGCTCCCTCCGAATATATTAAAATAATCAAATATTAACATAAATCAAGGGCTAGAAACAGAGTCTAAACTAAAAAAGTTGCAGTTTTGGGAATTTTTGTATTGTTTAGGGCCCATTAGACCACCACTAAAGCCCAATACGCCCTTACCCCGGGCTCACAGCCCATCGATGGGCCTAAGGACCGGGCCCAAACCTAGCTCATTAGTCGGATGGGTCGGCTTGGGCTGTGGGCTTCATGGGCTATGCTGAGGTCTAGTTATAGAATGCTGATCCGAGCAAGAGAGAATCGTGCTCCTGAGGCAGAGATGCGCCGCCTCTCGCTACCTATATTCGTCGGTAGAAATTCAATCGTTAAATCGACGTTTGATTTTCAAACTCGATAAAAGACATGTTGTCCCAGATAGTCATTCTAAAACAGTAGTGTGGTTTTGACACGGTAAACTATATCGATGTCCGAGATACCAAACCAACCTTTATATTTTGCTCAAAGCATGACAAGAAAATCCAGATAACAAAGTGTCAGCTGTGGAAGTCAGAATTGTTTGAATCCAATACTATACACGAGGGTTACGCTCTAGTCAATACTGGCGGAGTCAGCCGTATGCGGTCCACTCGGACACCGCACCCCCTCGGAGACCGCTCACTTGGGCTCCCGGCAGCCTCGCTATCCCCGAACAACCTTGCAGCGGCTCCGAAGACATTATATTTGCCGGGGTTATAAATAAATCTTAGTCCTACAAGAGAGATCCTGGCAGTTGAGTTTGATCTGGAGCCGAATCGCCACCCACGGACCGTGGTTGTAATAGTTGATCGTATAGATAGATCATCGACAAGAAAGTGGACACCGCGGAGGATATGTGCCATAGTGAACGTCAGCCTATTTTCCCTCAGAAATAAAGCATGCGCAAATCTAACCAAGTGTGCAATAAATGACAATAACCAATATTCATAGCAACCGTGTTCAACCATGCTGCTATATTGATGGTCTATATGTAGTCGTCTCGAACAAGCGGCTGATGGAAGAACCATTAATGAAGTGTCATCGGCAGTAGTGCCTTGGTTTAGAAATTCATAGTCACTATCTGCGTAGACTTCAAATTTCCCCGCAATTGCTTCCCCAGGAAAACTTTAATGCCGGCGAGAGGATATAAAAGAGCATCCCCTGAGAGGCAGGGGCGGACAAGATAAGTTCTAATCTGTGAATCAAACCTCAGCATCAAATATAACCTGACCCTTTCCATGTGAGATCATACAAGATGGCTTTAGGTATCATCCAATTGAATGAGCGCCATGCACCTGGAACGTTTTTATTGTTCGATGAATCATCCGCAAATGTCTCTTCCCAGACAAAGTTTGGCACTGGAAAGGTAATTACAGAGGGGATAGCCATCAAAACAAAAGAAATATGCTAAGAAGAGTAGCATGCAAGCGTTGTCCTAATTCCCCAGCCCTCCAACAGCCCAAATGATCCTCTGGTAAGTGGTTCCCTGTGCTGCAATGGAAGGAAGAATCTCAAACCCCGCATAGAATTGGCCACAATGGAAGAAGAATTTGACATATTGTGTCTTATTCGCCAATTCCATTATTTTCTCATCCATTCCGCCACCCCTGATTGCTCCATCTATGGTTTTGATGTCGCACGCTCTTAAGCGATCTATTGAAGATGTTACAATGCTTACCGCATATCAATTGCTTGCGTGTGCTTGTTACGGGTACGTCTCATATATGTCTTAATATAGACGTCGAGCTAATATATGGTTAGACCAATTGGATCTGCTCTAGCACATAAATACGGAAAACGGCCACAATTTATCTTCGCCGCCATCATGGGATTCATTGGAACCCTTGTATGTTGCACCACCACCAATAACTACAGTGTTCTATTAGCAGGGCGGATTATCCAAGGTTTCGGCTCAGCGGTCTTTGAGAGTCTGACTGTTGCAGTCATGGGCGATATGTGTGTCAATTTGAACTTTTGCCTAAGTCTTACAACGCTGACTGGGAAAATAAAAGGTTTTTCGTTCACCAGCGATCTCTCCGGACTGGTCTGCTAGTGATGACCTGGACCTGCATTATATCTCTAGTCTCGATCCTGGGTGGTGTGATAGCTGAGGGTCTTGGCTGGAGATATTTGTTCCTCATTCATCTGCCATTTACCGTTGTTGGAATGCTATCAGTTTTCTTCTTTCTCCCCGAGACTCAGTGGCAGGCTCGCCGAAGTCATATCGCTTCTCCTGAGGAGCCGACTCAAACGGAAGATAAAGAGACGGCAAACGTCAGCCATGGACATGACGAAAATGTATCAGAATCATCGTTGATGGAGGCAAAGAAGACATTTATGCAAGAACTTGCAATATTCAGTGGGACGCACACAGAAACCAACCTTTTGCGCCTGGTTTTCGCTCCGTTTGCCGTCATTATCAACCCTGCCGTGATCTGGGTAGGTAAACTTTGTCCTTCTCATATGTGGCTTGCTAACCACGACCATTAGGCGATTGCTGTGGGTGGTGCATGTATCGTTAGTTTCTCCCCACTCTTCACATCTGCCGACATCGGGTTAACACAGTAGTGCAGGGTTTCTACGTGGCTATCTCTTACATTCTTGCCCAAATATGGACCCCTCCTCCCTACAATTTGAATGCCCATCAAAACGGAACTTTCTATGTTGGCGGTAAGTCAATTTTCTTACTTTTACATTGTGGACTAATAAAGAAGGGTTTGGCTAAATTTGACCTCCAGCATTAATCGGAGGAGTGATTAGTAGCATAGCCGGCCCATGGCTAGGGGATTTGATCACCAGGAAGATGACCACATGGAACAGAGGGACATATGAACCTGAATTTCGCATTCCAATGATGACCTTCGGCGCTTTGTTCTGTGGCATCGGATGGTTTGTATTTATGTGGGATCTTGACAACCCAACGTCGAATGGTTATTATCTGGGTGCATTCTGCCATGGTTGTGTGTGCTGTGGTACAACCATAGGTATGACATTTTCCAATCTTTACATACTGTGAGTACACGTTCTTCTCCTATAATTAGCTTTATTTGTCCAAGGTTTCCATCGTCATAGCACTTGACTGATCAAGGTTGGGAGCTAAAGCGACGCCTTCCGGGAAAATTCCACAGAAATTTTCATCCTCTTGATGACAGCCAAGAACTTCATTTTCTATGGTTTCTCCCAAGTTATGAACACCTGGGCAGAGGAAAAGGGCCCAAGTGATGTTTTGAGGACCTTTGGAATTATCACAATGTGTCTCATGGGCACATCACCTTTGTTGTGTAAGTTTGGCTACACTTCTTCCATTTGTCACAAACAACTAACCGAGAGACCGACACAGACATTTTTGGAAAGCTCAACCGCTCTTTCATGTACAGTACCGGATTGATGAGGAAGTTGACAGGGTACGGACACTCGGGATGATGGATTGACTTATTTGGACTGCCTGGCAACACAGACTGCTGAGAAAGCTGGAAGCTGTAACGCAGGTAACCCTGCAGCATCCCTGTAGTATGATAAAGGGCTAGTCTGCTTCAATTCTGCAAATACATATGCCAAAGTGGAGAAATTGAGAAATTGAACTACGAATTACGAAATCCATGCAGTAGGGATACTCAGCTGATCATATTGGTTGCAAGTAGGCTGGTTAGTTGACAATTTAAAAGGCGCCATATTATCCACGGTCTTATACTACATCGTGCTGTTGACATTTTACCTGACTTCTCTGCACCACGTATTTACTTGTGGCTCTCTCACCAGAACATATAGCGCATGGATGAGCATAGCATGCATGTTCATTTTCCGGACTATGGGCGAGAGCAATTCCCTACATACCCATTTTGATGCGGTTGCTAAAGATTCTCAGACTTGGGTATACGGTCCATACCCTGTCCAAGGGTTCGAGGTAGAACGGATCCCGCCTTTAGATCACCGGTGGGGCTTGAGGTTGGAGCACGGAGGGTAGCGGTCACCGAACAACTCTGCGAACTCCGTGTACACTCCCCCAATCATGTGACATGAGGTCATCTTCATCTATATATGTAAGTTGACCGTTTACAACAAATCGCTTTTGTTCATTTCCTCTTTTTCCTAGAGGTTGAATCTCTCACTATCCTCAGTTTCGTTTTCAGCCTGCATGAATCGGCGGAATCATCTGTCTTGTTAAAAATGGATTCCCCTGCGAAAGAAAGATGGTTGAACCTGGTTTCCATACCTACGCTGGTATTGGCTTTGCTTGGACTGATTATCAGCAAAATAATTTGGTCATTTCTTTTTCACCCTCTACGTCATATTCCAGGCCCAGCCCTCGCAAAAGTGACCGATCTATGGCACTTGTATCATTGTTGGGGTGGGAAACGACACCACAAATTGGTGGAGCTTCATAAAAAATACGGTATTGGCATTCCCCTCATACAAAGCGGAAATCACTTTCCAGTAGCTAATGCCGAGGAAAGGCCCTTTTGTTCGAATTGGACCTGATATGGTTTCGACCAATTCGTCAAGTGCAATCCCTGCGATTTATTCCGCAAACGCACCGGCTTTGAAGTCGGGATTTTATGAAGCTTTTGCACCTGGAATGCCCAGTAGCTTTACAACCAATGACAAAATCTACAGACAGAAAAAGCAAATTTTGTCGGCAGCGTTTGCGCCTCGCAAGTTGGAAGCCATGGAACCCTTGATTCGTCTCCATATCGATGCGTTCTGTGAGAGAATAGCAGAAGCTAGAAATGTTGATATTGCTGTGATGCTGGGTGCGCTTTCCATCGACGTCCTGTCCGATCTATGCTTCGGTAAAAGCTTCGAAACTTTGAATAACGAGTCAGAAAGAGATCGTATTCTGGAGGCTATGGAAAAGTCCGTTGAATTGGTCATCCGAGTAAGTGCATTTTCGATTCAGCGATGATCTCACAGTCTAACTTGCCCGAAGGAAGGAACTATGCACAAATGGCCGCGGGCTATTTGGAAGGTTCTCCATTCAAAGGAGAAGGTGATTAAACGGGGCTATGTCTATCAGGTACGTTTGTTTAGCTACTCCAATTGTTGATATTAACCAAACTCTCCAATAACAGAAAGCAATCGGAGCAATGATGCAGCAGATAGATAGCAAATCCGAAAGAGACGACTTTTTCACCAATATACTTCAGGCTCGTCGACCAGATACTGGAGAGCCGTACGACAAGCGGGAATTGATGGGTGAAGCGATTCTTCTCCTGTTCGTCCAAACTGCCCATATCCCCAACTCTTTTGCGCCCAGACTAACGAAGACCGTGTGTAGTGTCGCGGGGTCCGATACCACATCTACAGCATTGACTGTGATCATCTGGCATCTTCTAGCGAACCCTAAGACAATGCAGAAGTTGACAGCTGAAATTTGTGAGACTTTTGAGTCCCCAGAGGAAATAAAGTACCAGGCACTTCAGGGACTCCCTTATTTGCATGCGGTCATCGAAGAAGGGTTAAGAATTTGTCCACCAAATCCGGGCTTGGTTCCACGAGTGGTTGTCGATCGAACCCCAGGCCATTTAGCCATTGACGGCCGTATTTTCCCTCCTGGTGTAAGCACGACCAGATCCACCACAAACTCTTGGATACATGATTCAAGATGCTAACAGCTAATATGCGTTTTAAGACTGAAATTGGAGTGTGCAACCTCTCACTTCATCACAATCCTCTGTATTTTGATGAACCAGATGCCTTCCTCCCGGAACGTTGGATGCCAAATTCCGATATTAAATGTAACAAGGGTGCATTCGCTCCATTCTCCTACGGCCCTAGGTCATGTTTGGGCCGAAAGTAAGTTTTTAATATACCTTCATTCTTCCTATCGCTTTCCCCTTTCTGACCTTGATATTTTCCGACTTTAGCATGGCCTATATGGAAATGAGCCTAACATTGGCTCTCCTTGTATACCGATTGAAGTTATCATTTGCCGATCACGATAAGCAGATGCGGGTCGGATTTGACGTCAATGATGCCTTTGTTGCTATCAAACCATCAGTTCCAGTGAATGTGGCAAGAGTCTGACGCATTGAAACCCTCCGATGGAGGAGTAGTCTACTCAGAGCCGTGGAAAACTAGCCGGAGCTCTCGTATTGCCTTTTTAGTCTATTATGCGCTACATTAGTGTCCTGTAGCTACAGAAAGTAGCCCCAGAACAACGATCTATCTAGCGTTTTACTATGGCGTTTAGGGTTGAACCAGCGCGATCTAGTGTGTTCAGAATCCCCTTTGCTTTCTCTTTTTCCTTATTTAAGATGTGCTTAGCATTCAATGCACAGTATGAATTCCAATTATATAACCCACACAGCTATATTTCGGAATATTGTATAGGAAAGCAGCGTATAGTTCAACTTCATCAATTTCTGGATCACCTGAAGTGTCTTCAGAACTACCTACATATATTATATTACACTGTACTATATGTTAGACTGCGAAAAGGGATGGATTTTGTCGTCGTCACTGGCCCCGTAGAAAAATAACTTGGTCCAAGGTTTTATCTCTCTTTTGACGTGCGCTAACAGGGGGAGGGGGTGCTTTCAACCATTCATCACAGAGATATCTATAAACAGAAGAGAAATTTCTACCTGGATTGAGTGTTATATCTTGGGTAGATCCAATGCAACGATTCCCAAAGCGTAATATGTTGACTTTCTAAGGTTGTATGGCTGGTCTTGGGGAGATTTGTTGTGCTGGTCTACGTGACTTCTGTCCACGAACAACTGGAACAATGAATTAACCTGAGGGGAAATAACTCATTCCTCAATGCGGTCCCCGACACAGAGATTCCCAAATATCAGAACGCAACCGAAGTGTGATCTAAGAGAGTTGTGAGTATAACGAAAGCTTGGCCTGAAACGCGGACCCCGCCCACCGCCACTTGTATAAGGCCACTGGTATTCCACCCGCGGAGACCGACCCAATTGCCAGATATTTTAAAAGATATATCATAAAATTATCTCTCAGCCAAACTCACGAGGATCATAATCCAATTATCAAAATTGAAAAGAAATCGACAGTTCACCTCGCAATGGGTTCGACACCAGGAAATACGTTTGTGGACGGTAAACCGACCAAGATTGAGACACGATTATTTATTAATGGAGAGGTACGTTGGAAAATATCAAAACGATATTACCAAGGCTATAACACTCATATGTCCTAGTTTACCGCGTCGTCGGATGGGAAGAAATTCAGTATCTACACCCCCTCAAGCCATGAGCTGGTCGCAGAAGGTCAGAATTCGATTGAAATCTCTACCCCTTACTATAACCCGTATTTCTGACAAATACAAGTCTACGAGGCTAGCGTCGAGGACACCAACAGAGCAGTAGCTGTAGCTAAAGCAGCACAGCCGAAATGGGCTGCATTATCCCCAACGGAACGTAGTGCCCCGCTGAAGAGGCTCGCCGCGCTACTGCGTGAGCACACAGATGAGCTTGCTTATCTCGAAGCTGTTTCTATGGGGCGACCCGTTAGTGGTTACGCTGATAGCATGATAGCTGCGCACAAATTTGAATCTTTTGCCGAAGCTGGATATACTGCCAAAGGAGTTTCAAGCTTGAATACCCCCGGGTTCGTGAACATGACACTCCGGCAACCGTTTGGTGTAGTAGCAGCAATTATTCCATGGAATGTGCCTCTGGTCACTCTCTCTGGAAAGGTTGCCCCAGCCCTTATAACAGGCAATACCGTTGTTCTTAAGAGCAGCGAAAAGGCCCCCTTGACAGTGAGTCAATAACTAGAATGGATATCCGACACACCGGTTTTCATAATTAACACAATGACTTATAGTCTCTCAAACTCGCAGAGCTTTCGATTCAAGCGGGCTTTCCTCCCGGAGTACTCAATATACTTTCCGGACATGGTCAAATCAGCGGTGCCACTCTATCTTCGCACATGGACGTCCGTGCGATATCCTTTACTGGTTCCACCCGTGCTGGAAGTCTGATTCAGACTGCTGCAGCGCAATCGAACATGAAGAATGTCATTTTGGAGCTGGGCGGAAAGTCTCCAGCTATTATCTTCGACGATGCTGATTTGGAATCAGCAGCGTCCAAGACTGCCAACAGTATTCAATGGAATAGTGGTCAGGTTTGCATGGCAAACTCCCGAATCTATGTCCAAGACACTATTGCAGAGAAATTCCTCCGCCTGTTCAACATAGCCTTTGGGTCTATTCAGCAAGGAAACCCACTGAATCCAACCACCAACCATGGCCCAATGGCAGATGATATCCAGTTCAAGGCAGTTCAGAGATATATTGCGTCGGGTAAAGATTCTGGAACGCTCACCATGGGTGGTGGCTCAAAGGATGGGTTCGTGGAGCCGACAGTGTTTACCGACGTCCCACAGGATGCAAAGATCATGAAGGAAGAGATCTTCGGCCCGGTGGTGAACATCTGCATCTTCCAAACTGAGGAAGAGGCACTTGAAAAGGCCAACGATACCGAGTACGGCCTCTATGCAGCAGTCTTTACGAAGGATCTCAACCGTGCAATGCGGTTTGCGAAGGGCCTGGAAGCGGGAACTGTCGGTGTTAATTGTACGTCACCCGTTACTGGCCACGACTTATCCTTTGGAGGTTGGAAGTCTAGTGGAGTAGGAAGGGAAGGTCTACTTGACAGCATCAGCGCCTTTTTAGAACAGAAGTCAGTCTTGATCAAGATCGAATAGTGTATTGGAATTACAAATCCCTGTTTTGGTATTTGCCTAAAGCCTTGTCTTATTCTACCGTAGCAAAGATAATGATGTCCATCATTTCGACTTTTACCTCTCATGGACACCCTATTATGCACCTTGACGTATCTCTTTTAAGCCTCTCTATATGACACATTATGAACCTGTTGTAGCTTTATCAAAATCCTCAAAATGAACCAGCAAAGAAAACTTTTAGTATCTCGCGGATGACTTTTCCACCCACCAGCCACCTCACTGTCACCCCGGGCAGACCTTTCACAATGATAATGTTAACGCTTACCGTGGGCTAAAGACTTGTCTCTACCTCAACCCGCGACGTCACCCGAGTTCATTCAGTAAATAACTACGATGACCACCGTATACCCTCTCACACCTCTCGACTTCACATTGCCCCCGACGGTTGGGTTGTGGCAAAATAGCCTTGTCGCACATCCACGCAGTTTTCACTTTCTTCGGTAATACCCCGTTACTTACACCACGCGGCCTCCGACCTTCACGCTGTACTTAGCCATTTGACGAACTTCACCGGAACCAAATACCCGTCTCACCAATACCCCGCTCTCATCACCCAATAAAGATGAGATCATCCTGTGAGCCTTTTCCCACTTCCCTATCATGGTGTTGAGATTTTACCCGCTTTTCAATGCTACATCACTAGAAAGCGCGTCAGAGTAACTAAAGATGAAAGCCGAAATCCTGTAATGAATCATGGAGCGAAGTGATTGGGGAAACAGGCATTTGAAACCACCTCGGTGTCCGCCTCATATGCAACCAGCGCGGGGGTGAAGGAAATTCCGGTAAATTTGTGTTGGGGAAGGCCATAGAGGTGGATAATCGGCTTCTCATTTCGGGGACCGCACCTGAAGTCCACCTTTGTGGACTCCTGCAAGAGCTCGCCACATCGCGACTAACCAACGATGAACATTGAGGTGGTTACGATTTCGGAGCGATACAGCCGACACTTGTCTATTTAATGTCCCGCATTGCAGAATTCTACTTTCAAATCAATCAACTACTACCCCCTGTTCTGTTCATATCATGGCTTTCAAAGGTACCGTCGCTGTGGAGGAGGCGGTGATTGATCCAGCAACCACTTGGATTTTGAGTGAATCTCAGCATATCCTGACCCCAGGGGATGCAGGAAAAGCCGCTGTGGAGTCCCACAAGCAGCGGTTGCTAGACATCGACGCACGACTGGCTTCTATGGACGCTGAGGGTGTTGAGTATATGCTACTCTCATTAACCGCACCTGGGTGCCAGGGAATCGCAGACCAGAAGCTGTCAGAACAAACTGCCACCGGATTCAACAACTGGCTTGCTGAGGAGGTTGCCAAGAGACCCTCTCGCTTTGGGGGGATGGCAGCCGTCTCAATGCATGACCCTGTCCAAGCAGCGGGAGAATTGAAAAGAGCGGTTGAGCAATTAGGATTCTTTGGAGGGTTGATAAACGATTTCCAGAGCACGAAAACTGGCGAGAAACAGTTGTACTATGATACACCAGCCTACGACCCATTTTGGAAAATGGCGGAGCAGCTCGACGTGCCAATTTACTTGCATCCTCGCTATCCAGAACTCTCCGATCTTCAGCCGAACACCAAATATGGATCCCGTCTACACTTAATTGGAGCAGGGGTTCAATTCCACTTGGACCTGTCGTTCCACATCTATGCCCTCTGCGCGTCTGGTATTTTTGACCGGTTTCCTCGTTTGAAGGTTGTTGCCGGCCACCTCGGCGAAAATATTCCATTCAACCTCTGGCGAGCCTCGCACTGGTACAACAAGCCCACTAAGAAGGCCACTCGGCCTTCTCTATACGATTACAGCTACTACTTCCACAAGAATATCTTCATCACTACATCGGGTAATTTTTCGACTCCCGGACTGAAGTTCTGTATCGAGGAGCTTGGAGTAGACAGATGTTTGTATTCGATAGGTGCGTAACCTACTCACAATCTCCTCCCTGAAACCGTCCTAACCAGAATATAGACACCCCATATGATCAGGTCAAGGAGGCCCAGCAATGGTGGCGTACTGTGGAATTGAAAGACAACCACAAGGAATTGGTTGGCAGAGAGAATGCGATTCGTTTGTTCAAGCTGCCGATTGAGATCTAATCCTAAGCTTTAGTATCAAATGGAACTATGTGTACTTACCATATGTGATATCATTATTCTTGCTAGCCACGGCAATATAGGATTAGTAAATAGTGTGAGATTGCTCGAATCCATGGTACTTTATGATACAGCGGGTTTATACATCCGAAATACTCGACTGTCTTTATTGTGATAATTTCCCATGCAGATCCCTCCTTTGTAAGTCCCTTCATTTAGATAAATTGCAAAGTCTTATCAGTTCCCAAGGCTAACAGGAGCGGGCCTTGAGAAGTTCCGTGGCATTTTATTGTAAATTCTTCACAAAATACTGCCACCGTTGCATTAAATCACCACTCCTGGCAAAGGCAGGCCTCGACAGCCTTTTTAGTAGTCCATCAGCGCAGCCTGGGGGTCAACTGCGAGTTTACCGATCTCAGGGAGATGTCGAGACTTCCCGTTTCAGAGGCTATATCATTACTGGTATTTTACAAACGAATCACCAGTGGTCGCGTTTCCAACCATTGTAGTATGTGAGTAAATATAATTTCGGTTAATGGTGTTTAGAATATCTAAAATGAATGTAATATTTCTAAAGCTTTGCGTGCTCGATCAAGAAATCAAGACCAGCACGAATTGGAACGAAATCTGGTTCATCGAGCTCGACTCCAACATCAAAGCCGTGAGACTTTCCCTCAGGTAACAAAATTTTAGTCTCCACGCCGAGTTTTTGAAGCTTCTCATTAGCTTCGATGCTAAACTTGGGGATAACCATGCCATCCGCATTGCCGTGGATGAAAAATGTGGGCGGGAACTTCTCCGAAAAGGAGTTGACGGGGTCAACACGCTTGTAATCTCCATCTTGAACGATGGCCGGGAACTGTGTGCCGTCCTTCAAAGTAACAAAAAGCCATGCATTTCTCGGTACAGAAAGGTCAGGACGAGGTAGACCTTTCGTTTTTGGCTGATCACTAGCCTTCGTGGCACGTTCAAGGGAAAGCATCGTGTTTGAGGAGACTGGCTCCTTGTAAACCTGGTTGATGAATGCCTCGTCAAGTGACGGGATCATTGCAAGAGCTGGCAGAGGCGAAACCCAGAAAGGATCTGTTGTGCATTTGACACCATAAAAATCGAGAATCGCACGTGGGGGATCTTGAAGAGCACCCTAAATGCAAGTAATGCACAAGTTAGCGATATTATTGTAATTCATGCATGCGATGAGGGCGGGTGCACTATACCGTATGTAAAGCCAAACAACCACCGGCTGAATGGCCGAAGACGACAGTACGAGAAGGATCCACAATAAGGCCCGCGTCCTTTTTCAGCAGCCCGGGAAGGGAATCTTTGCACCACGCATAGACATCCTTCGCATCTTGGATAGGTCCCTCATACAGCGAGACCTGGGGGCATAGCCGATAGTCAGCCGAAACGACAACGAATCCGGCGTTGGCCAAATATTCTATCTGCACCATGGGTAACATGTTCCTAGAACCAACGACGAAACCACCGCCATGGAAGGCAAGGGCTATGCCGAGTGGTCTATCGGTTTGCGTGTTGGCCCAATGGGCTGTGGCGTAGATGTGATCTCCATCACCAAATGCTTTGAATGCGTAGTCTCGTGAATCCATGATTTCAAAATAAAATATATAAAATGGTGATAATGCCAGCCGACCACGATTGACAAGAAATATTCAGCTTAAATATATCTTGGTGATATAGCACGAATAAGTAACATGTGGTGATTTAGAAGATGGAAGATGAGTCTCGGTGTCCGCTTTGTGGAAAGAGGCTGATGCGGTGTCCGCGAGCGACCAAACTTGTCCCCACCCAGCCTCGGTCATCATTGTCGATATACTCCGCGTGGGGTTGGTCCAATACTGCCTTTGAATTCTTTTGAGACTGATTGGCGGTTCCCGCAACATGATACCTCATGAACCGTGATGGTACCATGTGTCAATTGACCTCACTTGCGCGGAAACCGGCATTCGCATTTCTTTTGTATATAGACACTTGAAGTAGTCCTCCATGATTCATCAGATTCTTCTGTATTATCATTGACCATATACAAGATCCTTTATCCGTGCCAGGTCGCTTCAAACAAGATGTCTGATATCGCCGCAATTACCGAGAAGCTTGCGCCCCAGCAGGAGGTTGCCTATCCAAAGACTCCGTTCTATGAAGGACCAGAGGCACCTTGCCGATTTGAAGGCGAAGTGTACAACTGCATTGTCCGCGGAACAATTCCAACTGAAGTCCAGGGTACTTACTACCGTTGCATGCCGGATGCTCTTTGGGCACCCAAATACGCAGATGACGTCTTCATCAATGGTGACGGCGCTATCGATGCAATCCGGATCAAGGATGGACATGCCGACTTCAAGCAGAAGTATGTGCGGACCTCCAAGTTCGTGATTGAGCGAGCTGCCCGTCAGGCAGTCTTTGGAAAGTACCGCAACCGCTACACCGATGACCCTCGCGTCAAGCACGAGATCCACTCGACCGCCAATACCCATATCATCTACTTTGAGAAGCAACTCCTGGCTTTGAAGGAGGATTCTCCTCCCTATGCGATGGACCCCCACACTTTGGAGACTAAAGGTAAGCCCAAAGAGTTTAGGTTAACATTCTTTGCTAGTTGGCTAAGTGATAACAGGGCCGTATACCTTCAACGGACAATACACTGCACCTACCTTCACTGCCCACCCGAAGATCGACCCTGTCAACGGGGAGATGTTGACTATGGGATACGAGGCTAAAGGAGATGGCACAACCGATGTCGCGTACTTCTTGTTTAGCAAGGAGGGCAAGAAGCTGGAAGAATGCTGGTTCAATGCCCCCTATGTTGGAATGATGCACGATATGGCAGCAACCGACAATTGGGTGATTTTTACTGTCCCTCCGCTTGAAGCCCAACCCCTCGATGAAATGAAGAAAGGATCCAAGCACTTCGCTTGGGCTGAGGAGAAGCCATTGACCTTTGGAATTTTGCCCCGCCGCAACCCCAAGCCGGAAGACATCAGATGGTTCACTTACAAGAACGCATTCTACGGCCACACGGGAAATGCATTTGATGGCGAAGATGGTTGTGTTTATTTGGACGCCCCACTTACTAACTTCAACAAGGTTAGACGAGCTTTATTGTATCAGACTGATTAATCCCAATGACTGACTGACCCTTCTCTAGTTCTGGTTCTTCCCTCCACGCGGCCAAGATCCAATGGAGGCACCTAGTGGCAAGCCCCCTGCCAGTGGAAATGTTAGCCAGTATGTGCGATGGAAATTCGACCCAAAGGCCACCGACTTCCATGTGGAGCCTGTTGTATTGGTTGATGTCGACGGCGAGATGCCGAAGGTTGATGACCGTTACGTCGGCAAGCCTTACAACACCCTCTTCTACGCCATGCATGATCCTACCAAGGAGAATGGTCCCGTCGGTGGTGTGTACAATGCGATTGCGAAGTGCGACGTGAACACTGGGAAACTAATCCATTGGTCTGCTGGTGACCATACCGCTATTCACGAGGTGGCATTTATCCCCCGCGACCCGAAATGTACGTGTTAGAGCCCCATTAATTACTGATAAGGTATATTGTTAACTTATGACACTATAGCACCTGAGGCGGATGGATACCTCATCACTCTCGCCAACAGGCGGGATACAGGTCTTTCTTGTATCTTGATTTTGGACGCAAACAAACTCACTGATGGCCCCGTTGCAATTATCGAGCTCCCATTCCGTCTGAGAAATGGAATTCATGGAAGCTGGGTCTCAGCGACGGAGCTGGATAACGCCATTGACCTCTGTGACATGTCTGGCGTTACCGAGAAGATTCGCCAGGAATTCGGTACCAAGGAAGTCACATTCCCGGTACTCTGAGGAAGAATGGTAGAACTACGGGCTTAGGCTACAGAAAGATGTTTATAATGTCGACTGTATGGAATCCTGCAAGAAACTACCGCTTGTCGTTGTCTATCAATTGTCATTATAGTCTGAGGTTGGGTTCGAAACAAAGTACGCTACGATATATAAATCTTCCGAAAAGTTCTGCTATCTGTTATCCGTATCTTAAACAAAGTCCTCCAACACTTAGACCTCGACGTGCTTCATTTCAAACAGGTTAGCAATCGAATTTCCTTGGCAGCTTTATATACCACGCTTCAACAATATATTTAAATTGTACGAATAATGCCATAAGTCCATGCTCAACTAGATGTTTTTCAGAGACAAGACCTAAGGCTATACCCTTACATTACGAGAAAGAATACTTTTTTTAAAGAACTTTTGTTAATATCAAGTACTAGGCAGAAGAAGAAGTCCATATGAGCATCCATAATCTTTGATATGGGCACCAATGTGTAGTAGATACCACGATAAGGATAATATAATCTCATGAAACATCAAATATAAAGGCTATTTTCTTCTATAAAACGGATCAGGCCATAGTTGAGCGGATTCCGAACTAGACGGAAGACGGACAGCGAGCCGGACACCGCGGTATCACTTTGAATAACTCGAGGTTACTTACCCCGGGGTAGTTATATAAGGGTGTTGTGGCTGTTCACGCTTGCCTCTCATCCTCTCCGCTGCACAGATTACCATCTCGCTTCTCCGCAGTATTCATCATCCAACCAAACAGAATGACTAACAGCTATGTCATACCAGAGGAGTGTCGGGCAGCGGTCGTTGTCGATGAAGGTCCGAACTTTACCGTAAAGACTCAAATGGTGAAGGTTCCAATTCCAGGTGATAAATCCTCATTAATAATCTGCCGTTGATAATACTTCGACCTAACACCTAGCAATTTTCAGGTCCTGATGAAGTGTTGATCAAACTCAATGCTACCGGTATTTGTTATTCAGACATTCACTACATGTTAAACGACACCGGTGGTAAGAAGATGTCAGCATCGGGTATATGCTCCGCTGGCCACGAAGGATCAGGTGTGGTTGTTAAGCTGGGTGAAAACGTGAAAACATTCCAGCTTGGGGATCGAGCCGGTGTAAAGCCAATTTGGTACACATGCGGATCTTGCAGTCTGTGCTGGGGTGGTAAGGAAGTTCATTGCCCACAGAAAGTCCTCACTGGAGTGGGTGCGACTGGTAAGACAGCCCTTGAAAAGTCCAGCAGTTTTCATTTCCTGATTATGGATCATAGGAACCTTCCAACATTATATTGTTTCCCCAGCTCGATACACCACTGTGATTCCAAATGGAATTCCAGATCATGTTGCTGCCCCCGCTATGTGCAGCGCGGCTACCGCATATCGCTCCATCAGAGAGTCCGAACTGGCCGTTGGATCATGGGCTACAATCATCGGTGGAGGCGGTGGTGTTGGGATCCAAGCTGTGCAGATAGCCAAAGCTTTTGGGTTACGGCCTATTGTTGTTGACACGGGAAGCGAAAAGCGTGCTCTATCATTGAAGATGGGCGCAGAGGCCTTCGTTGATTTCAAAGAGTTCCCGGATACTGTTGCAGAAGTTATTCGTCTGACTGGTGGTATTGGATCTCACGGTGTATTTGTCACAGCGCCCCCTGCATATCCAACAGCCATCGGTTATATCGGTGCTAGGATTGGGGGTGTTGTTATGTGCATTGGGCTACCTGCAGCAGCGTCTGGTCACATCATGAACGTGAATCCCACCATGATGATCTTGAAAAGTTTGTCAATCAAAGGAACATTGGTAGGCACAATGGAGGATACAGAGGCTGTGTTACAACTTGTTCAAAGGGGCTTGGTGCGAGAAGTCTGTGAGGTGTTGCCCTTTGAAAGGTTCCCTGAAGCGGTAGATCGACTCCGCAAGGGGGAGGTTGCCGGGAAACTTGTGATTGATTACAACGCTTGAAGTTGGTGTGGGTAAGCTTCAATATATATATTTTTTTCATAAGCACGCAGCCAGCAGCTGTATGTAGTGGATCAAGGTGCATTACATTGAAAACACAAAGCTATTATATTATTACAACCCTGATTCCAAGGTATTCCACGGCCCACATAAATCCAGATCAAAATCCTCACCAAAGCCGAAGTATTCAGAGCCAAGGTCGTTGATATTCCCCAACTCATTGAAGTTTATTCCATCACAACTACCACTCACATGACCCAGCCTGGATGACTGAGGAAAGGGATCCCCGGGAGTGATAGTAGGCTTTTTCGTTATACCATTCTCCAAATTATGGAGAAACCTTTCGATGCTACCAGCGGCATATTTTGCAATCTGGCTTCGATCGCACATTTTCAAAACAGGAAGAAACGATTTCAACTCGTTCTGCACACTCGGTGCTTCGACCACACGGAGAAATAGTACTATGGCTGTTGCCAAGATGAAGTATGTATCCAGCCAAAGAGATGATGACAAAAGACCTCGGCGATATAATTCCGTTAAAATCTCAATCGAGGCACGGTTTGCAACCTTACAGGTCTCCGCTCGGGATTTGAAGACGGCATTATGACTATTGCTGCAAAGAACCGAATGGGCCATATACGGCCTCCCGATAAGCATGCGGGCGTAATTATATTTGAGATTCAAATATAAGGTGGCACGTGCGAAGCAGGAGGGGAATGTCGAATTTGGCCGAAGGTGGTCTGGTAGTTCGTCATTCAACGTTTCCACTTTCTTGATCAGCTCGCTGGTTAACTGTTCTTTGCTTCTCAAATTGCCCTTTTGAATGTACAGCTGCTGGGATATTTGACTAATCAGAATACCGAGAGATGCCGAGGTAGTGGTGTACCCAGGCGGAGTGCAGGGTGTGGTATTGAATTCCTGCTACGGTTAGTCGCCATGAGAATTTATTTGAGATAGGTATTTCTGACCTGCGAAGGAAGAGAAACTGCATTATCCGTGCGACCAAGGCCAGAAGTATGTCCCAGCATGCAAGAACTCCAGCTGTCAAACTCGCAAAGGGACCACCACAGGCGTCGCTTAATTTCTGATCCATATATGGAACTGTCGTGCGCATAACCTATATTTTGGTGAAGGCCAAGCGACATTGAGATTCGGATTCCGACACCCAGCATTGCCCAGGCAACACTGCGCTGGTCCTCTCTTTGGCGGTACAAGCTCTGATAAAAACAAGTCAGAATTGGTAAGTGAGAACAGTGTATCGACGCGGACTGGCATCAATCGTACCATCAGCATAATTGCCCGCACACTCTCCAAGCTCGATTCTTCTATCACATCATCCATGTAAGATCGAGCAATACCAAAACTCGGGTTCTCATCCCCACAGAGAGCCATGACCATGTACATTATGACCAGCACGGATGCACGCACCCCCTTTCCACTGTACACGTCGTCAATCCAAAGGTGGAATCTGTCCTGTTCAAGGATATATATGACGCTGTTGATCTCTGCAAAAAACTTCACGGCGGCTTGATCAAGCGACTTGCGATTAGGGAGGTAGTCTGCATTTCGATAAGAGATCACCTGTCCATCAAACAACGGCGGGGACTCATTCTCCTCGAATGGAGATAGACCGTCGGTATCTTTGGACATATGTGAGATTATCTTGGCATTGAGATTGGTGCAACTAGATGAGCCACTGAAGCCTAGATGAAGACAAATAGAAGTTAGTTTTTTCCTGTATCCGCAAAATATCACAAGGTGCCCAGGTCAGGGACATAGTGAACAGAGGATGCACCCACGAGGAATATTCATAGCATCTACCATCAAGGTGTTCTCCAAATCCTCGTTTGCACATTCCGGACTGGCAGCATAGGTGGAAGTTGAGGAGGCTGGAGGTGTATTCATTTGGGTGATAGTCTCCGACGGCCACGGGCTGGGCCCATCACATGAGCTATCCACAACAGGCGGTGGTGAAGGAGCAGGAGGGCCTTCCACTGGACCTTTGAGGGTGGCTAATAGTTGCCGCAGATCTTCGGTTTCAAAAGAAGCGGAAGGAACGAAATGACGAACCACCGATACTAGAAGTTCGTATCGTTCTTTTGAAGTGTGATAGTATGGTCGCGAGGTAGAGCCTCCCAGTTGGCATTGTTTACCCAGCCTGCTACATCGCTGACAAGGACCGAAAGAGGGCTTTTCGCACTATTTCAGTTTAGCATGTTGGTAGATGAAATCACTTGTTCAATTCCTACCTTCACTTTCCGTTGTCTGCATCCACTGCAACTCAGAGCATTCTTTCGTCGCCTATCGTCAGTTGCCATGCCGGCTATATCGAGATTTGAGATAAATTGGGAGGTGTTGGATCATCAACCGAAATAAAGATCGACTAAATCCAGAATATATGTAGAATATGTGCAGAATATATTAGACTAGCACCTCCGCAAAATGTTGGGGTTAAATGTGGAGTCGGATGCGGGGGATTAAGCGATCATAGCCGGCACGGCACGTACGCTAATTTCGAATGCCGGGCCCAGCTGCGCAATGAAACGTATTTGTGTGTATAACAGCACAGTAAATGGAGAAACAAAACATATATATGGGATAGCTAGGTCGTGTAATCTCCCGTGTATTTGGAAACTGAGGCTCTTCTATCCTTAACTCGACGATATAAAACTAATCAAATAGTACGACAGCCCCTGTTCTAATCAAGAAACACATACAGGATCCACTTTTGGGGTTAGGATGCGTTCATGTACTCCGTACCTAGCGTGTTTATTTCTCCCAGTCATTCCATTATGATTTTCAATTATCTATTGCCGTTCGGGCCTAGTATCAACAGAACCATATTACGTCTTCGGATATTGTTTGCGGGATTGAACCGTGAGGTATTGCTACATGACCTAACTCCTCTGTACCACTTGTTTTTTTTTTTTTTTTTTTTTATGGATGTTATACTTTATATTATACTACTGAACGATCTACGACCCACCGCTCAAATCATTATGTGATGCGGAGCAGTCCCCGGGGCCACTCCTTTTACACGCAATTGGTTAATCGGTGGAGCTTGGTGGGGTCCCAACTCGGACACCGCATTTGAGATATGACGGACACCGTCCCTATGAGCGGAGACCGAATACCAGAATTTGGTTTCAATGTATCTTGTGTATGACACATATCAAAGATACCTAAGTTGTACACTGTGTTGGTTTCTTACTTGGGCATAATAGCAGGATTTCGAATAAGCACAATATAATGAACAGAAACCGATAATTATGCTTCCAAGTCTGGACCCAAAGGACTTTCACCCCGGGTCTGTATCCCACCGGTGGGCGCTACCTTCGGGCCCCAAACCCAGCCTATTAGTGGATTGGGGCTAGTTGGGGGCCTTGAGCTCTGTGGGCTTTGGGAGATCTGATTAAGGCATTGCAAAATCAGCAAAGAAAGGCCCCCAGAGGGTTATTCTTCAGTATGAGAACAGTAGAGCATATATATACCTCTCCATATTGCTACTATAATTAGTACTACGCTCGGTGAGCTACTAGAATTGAAAATGCTAATGTTTTATCACAAAGACAGAAAGGAGTGGGTATTGATAGTCGACGGAGCCGCCGCCGGCTAGCATTGGGGTAGTATGGATGGTAGAAGTTGAACTTTGACACGGGCTTTGATTGGTTGAAATGATAGGAAATGGCAGTGTAGGGTGTTGGTTAAAAATAGAGAAGCAATACAAAACACAGGGGTTTGTAGAAGTAGCCGCGCGTGGGGGTTGAATCGACGCCACATCCAATGTCCCTCTCAAACGGAGGCTCATGCACCCGGAGTAAAAGGTCACTCACCTTCCCCAGCCTCGAGGGACAATCATCTGCCCAGTTCCCAGTCGCCCATTATCTGCTTTTCGGCGCGCTAGCAAGAGAGTCACTATGTTCTATGTCAACCTCGCAGAGAACCATACAACCTCGTATACTGGGTGGTGGCTATGATGCGTGCAGATTCGGTACGTCATCTCGGTGTCATTGCAGGGCAACGTATGTTATTTGAAGTTGTATATAAAACAGGAGAGATTCAGGGTTAAACTTCCGATAATTCGTGACAATCCCAGTGCCTCACTGATCCTACATACTGACACAATGCATTCCAAGAAAGTGCTCATTATTCTCAGCGACGCGCACTCTTTCCCCCTGAAAAGGGACACCGGACACGATGCTGGCAAGGTTGTTGAGCAGCCTTCGGGGTATTTCCTCCAAGAGCTAGCAAAGCCGTTAAACAAAATATTGAACGCAGGTCACGAAGTAACATTCGCCTCACCCAAAGGTCATGAACCCGCCCCGGATCCAAGCAGCGAATCACTCGTCGCCAATGCTGGCAATTTCTATGAACGTCAGCGAGAATACAATCTCATCAAACGCATGAAGCGGGAGAATGGGTTCCGCACCCCACGACCATTCAGCACCATCAGCAACAATGAGTTAACCACCTTCGCGGCTGTCTTTATCCCAGGTGAACACGCACCACTTCGGGATCTCGCAACAGATGCAGAACTGGGGCGAATTCTGCGCTATTTCCACCAGGAGAGTAAGCCCACAGCTGTGATCTGTCATGGGCCTTATGCCTTGTTGAGTACGAAGAAGGCGGGTGATGGGACGTTTGTTTATAATGGATACAAAATTACATCGTGGAGTGATGCGGAAGAGAATCTTATGGAGACATTATGGGGTGGCGAGGTCAAGAAGGTAGAGTCTACGTTGAGAAACGAAGGTGCAGTGATGGTTGAGGGTGTACGTGAAAAAACTGGCGGTACTACGTTGCATCGGGAGCTGGTCTCAGCGGGTAATCCTGTGGCGGCAAACGCTCTGGGTGATCGATTTGTGAGAATGATTAGTGTATAATATCTTGTTTTCCATCTTATTTGAGATTTAACTTGAGTAGAAATGGAACTGTGTACATGTTTTTCCCTACCATAGTGGAATTCAATGAATGCGAGCTATAAGTTCATCATAACTCGATAGAGATCCTTTATTTCTATGAATAAATGTCATACTGATGAGGGTCGCAGTTCCTGGCCGATAAATTGGTTGGCCGGTCTCTGGGAGCAAAGCCTCTTCAGGCCACCCCTTTCTTGATGCTAACTGTTGGTAGAGCGACACCGGACGAAACCTTATTAAGTATCTAGAAATATTAAAGAATACATTCTTCAGGAAGTTCTAAGAGGATAATCACCAACCTGCCGGATAACCACCTAGAGAATTGCGCGCCTGTAGTTTCCCCAGATGCGTCATAATTAAACTTGGGCTCATAATCAAATCCCATAAATCCTATTGGAAGCGTGAGAGTAAGCTTAGTACAATTATTTGGAAGCAAGTCCGAGAAGTCGCATGATGTGACCATGACAGCACACCAGATGTTTGAGGTTTATATACAGCTCTAGATCACTGGCCCTTCTTCTTAATGTACATAGCTTCATAGTCCCACTGACCATCTTTGAGTTTCATCAAATCCTGAGTATGAGCTTTATCCACCATTCATTTCCACATGCAGGAGTGAGACATCATATCCGCCCATCTGTGGGACTTCGATCATTTCGGCCGACCTCTACTCGAAGACGCTTTGCCACTGAAAAGCCAAGTGGCCAGGCAAAGAACCCCCGATGGTAAGTCACACTGTGAACATGTATTTTAGAGGTGGCATGTGACTTTGACTTAATTTCTTGCGATAGGTTACTAGTATCAATTGCTCTAGGATTACCAATATCAATATACCTATGGCAGAGGGGTGATATAAAGATGCTTAGCACCAAGCCTTCTACAAAGCTACGCGGAGCAAGTCAAGAATATAGCCAAAGGGCGGAGGGGGACCAAGACGTTGGACAGAATCTCAGCTCAACACCTTCTAGTCGGGATGAGGTTCGTTATTGCTTCTCACATTTTATTCTTGAGGCTTGGTTGGCATTATCGTCACTTGACAGTCCAGGCCGTCGAAACAATGCATATCTAACCTTCGCATAGCCTCGGGGCATGGGCCCACCAGATGGACCAGGAAGCATTTCACTCAAGCAGGAAGGTTTGGATAATGGGGATACCATGAACCCATTCGTGAACGAACCCGGCAAGAGTAAAAAGGGCGAGGGTGAGACGGACAGTGTAAAGGTAAAGGGGACCGTTAGCCCGGCTCGACCTCAGGTGTAAGCCTTGGAATGATGTTTTTATTCAAATCAAATAAACAAATATCGATTCATGTACATAGGGGTGCATACCTGATAGGCTTTGCAACCGAAGTTGTGATATGATATTTGGTGGTCATGACATCGGTAAGCTCAGGTGGAATATAATATTAATCGAAACGCCGGCTCGAATTGAGCTAGGTTTCATCCGACTCGCATCAAAAAGGTTGGCTCTGGAGATTTACCCTGCGATTGTGGATACACCTTTGGCAACGACAGGTAGTGAAGTTTGAATGGAGTGCGGTGGAATGTACGCCAGAAGCCAACTGGCGAAATCCAGGAAAATCGCTCTGCAGCCCCCAGCAACGGTCTCTCAATTCTTAGACGGTCATAGTGTCGGGTTTGTAATTATTGTTTATCAAAATTCACAGGGACGCTTAGAGAGCCTTATCATTCCAGATTTGTGTCTCACAAGACTTCGCAAGACTTGAATAACACCATGAGTATAATTATTACTTAACTAAACGAGACACTAAATTAATATTTCATCCAAATCATACTGATTGTACTCAACGTCACCCAATACGTGTCATAACAAAAGGGGGCACGGATAGATCCAAAACACACATTCTTACCACGCATTTGGGAATGCCTTATGGTAAATATATTCCCCCTTCCGTCGCTGATAGAAGCCCATTGCCTCATCACAGATATCCATATTCACCACATTCATTCGAATGTCATACTGTCTGATCCGCTTTTCCATCGGCTCCGCAATTGCCATATACTCAGTCCTAACAACAGCAGTTTGAGCAAGATCAGCAGTCTCATGCAGTGCAAGTTGACTACTTCGCAGGATGGAATAGAGCAGCTCCATGTTCTCAATTTCACCTTCATAGGCCTCCAAGATATGGATCACAGATAAGAGGGTCGAAAGAGACAGGCCTTGGAACAGCTTCAATGAAGCAATACCATTGTTAGTCTCGCTTCGAAGAAAATGGCGCCTAAGAACCTGAAGCTCACCAACGCGGTATGTGCGAGTTAAGCCCGCCCCGAGAGAAAGTGCTTCGAGTCTCTCGACGTGATATCGATCCTCGTTGTCATCGATCTGATAAAGGCCCAGCCAGACTTTCTTCCAGAGTTTCACGATGCGACGCTCCAATTGACTGCGGGTTGAACTTGGCTTTTCAGGGGCTACACTGCCAACGGTATACTGAGGGGGCTCATCGACTTGACTATCTATTTCAGCCTGGTCACATCCTCGAGTAGCGCCAATGCTGTGAAGAGGAGGTGTAGTGGTAGCAACACACCACAGCTTAGCACTGAACTGCTCGTTAATTTTCGACAATGAATGCCACAAAAACTCTGAAACTTACTTGCTGCGTGCTTTGACTGCACACTTGGAGGAAGGAGTAGATAAATGGAAAAACTCCAATACCTTCCGGAGGAATCTATGAGCGCGGTGGGCCTTCATCGCTATCGGAGTTGCAATAAGGGGACCTGCAGAAGAAACCAAAATGATTTCTAGGCTGAGAGCTACATCTTCCCACTCTCAAACTGGAATATGAACCTTTATCACTACTCATTTCGAGGGTATTATGTTGTAATCATGGCGTGCTGCTGCATTTCTGGTCAGGAAACGACGGTCCGTTCATGGCTCCCTAATGCTCATTTCACCGAACCCTCGTAAGCTCTCCGTTAAACGAGAGCGGATAAAAATTTATCTATTGTCTCTAGATAACTCCTTGTACCTTTTGTGGGGTACATATATTTTACTTGCGACCAATTTGTCCAGCTCTAGTTTGCGTTGATAACTGTACAGTAGCTGGCACTTGTCTGACATGCCCAACTATCATCTATAGAATGACGAGATCATGATAATAAAATTACTCTGATCACGACTATTTGGTAAACTAACAACTAGAGTTTTCTTGTGCCATAGTAGAATGATTTGGTAGATGTCGCCGGGAACAAATTCCGCGGATGGTTAAATATTCCCACATACGTAGGTAGGTAATGCTGACAGCACTGCTCATTCAGTCCCTAGGTGTGAACTGCCCCATTCTAAAATAAAAATTATAAAACTTGCATGATTGATTTGAAAATAAAATATCCGAAGGGACTAATCTTGGTGGGTTGGAAGTAGCTAACCTACCCACGCCTGTAATATGTTAGAGCGGGAAAATATTTTATCCTATTACTTTTATTTAGGAAGTATATAGATAAGACCAAGTAAAAGACGGCCAAGAGCAAGGATACTATCAGAAAAAGAAATAAATTCGATTTGAATCGGTGTGAAGCTTCGTGTTCGATATAACTTTGGAAGATAGTCAGGGCGAGCATACAACCAATAGGCAAGAGAAATTTCAATTGCACAGTCAGAATAATTAAAAGTACAAGAGCAAAAAGTAATCGTAATACGAGGATGGGAACCAATGGCGTTTAAAATGACTACACAACACATCCATGTTGTACAATCTATGACTTCATGATTGGAGATACCTCGAAATGCGGGGCGACTCATGCATCGCATGTATTTTGCGACCCGAGCGAAGTTTAGGAGATACACCGATCTCCCTTCACTTAATTGTTTGCGTTTGACAGTAAAATGCATGTTAATCTTTGCTATGAATAGGTCCAGAGAGGGAACCCAACCTGCACGACATGACAGATTTGAATTTGATGACCTCAATAGACCAGGTTATACCTGTTTGCAGCCTTGGTCAGCTATAAGAGTCAGCAAATGAGGAAAATACCGAATAATACTTCGGTTCGTTTCTGTTCCGACCTCCCGAGATCTGGTTAGTTATCTCGGTGATGTTTGACGTAATACGTACATTCTCGAACTGTTGATCTTTTCATCTTCATTTTCATTTCACTCATATTCATGATACCCATGTGGAGTGTTTATGTTTGTATATCCTGTTGCTAACCGAGGTGACACGCCTATCTGCATCGGCATCACGTCTGATAATTGTGTAGCACAGGGATTTAGGTTGAGGATTGGCATTTCCAAACGTCTCAACTCAACCCGAAAACAATGACGATGGCAAGCGATGATTCTGTGGAAAGCGAGTCTGTGTTAGCTGCAAGCACAGAACACCTTCCTGGGAATTCCGTTTCTTCCTCCGAGGGTCCATCTTCACCGGTCAAGTCATGTCCACCCGAAGAATACGCGCCAATCCGCACGACCCCATCAGGCTCCCCGGCAGATTCCACGGGGCCAAGCTTAGATGAATATGGTGTCGCGCATACTATATCTCGCCGGCGCAGCTATGTCTCCGGCCATGATACCAAAGGAGAGGAATGGGCCCAGATAGAAAGACTCATTTCACGGATGTTCGGCTCTGAGCGTAAAGCAAACTCCGAAGAAGAGAAAACACGTCATCTTGGAGTTGTATGGAAAGATCTCACCGTGAAGGGCGTGGGCCTTGGAGCTGCTCTCCAACCCACTAACGGAGACATTTTCCTCGGATTGCCACGGCTCATTAAGCAACTATTCACTCATGGTAGGAAGGGTGTCGCAGCTGGAAAAGCACCGATACGAACCATCTTGGATGATTTCACTGTATGTCTATTTATAACCACTAGATGTCGGCTTGGCTAATCTCACATTCAGGGCTGTGTTCGTCCAGGGGAGATGCTTCTTGTTTTAGGCCGACCTGGCTCTGGCTGTTCCACTTTCTTGAAAGCGCTCGGCAATCAACGAGCGGGCTACGAAAGCATCGAAGGGGATGTGCGGTATGGTGGCACCGATTCAGAAAAGATGGCGAAGCAGTATAGGTCTGAAGGTGGGTCTTTATTTTGTTTGTGTGATTACGATTCCGAACTAAAACCACTAGTCTTGTACAACCCCGAGGATGATCTCCATTATGCAACTTTGACTGTGCGAGATACACTCCTTTTTGCCCTGAAATCCCGAACTCCAGACAAAGCCTCACGAATCCCTGGAGAAAGTCGAAAAGAATACCAGGAGACCTTCTTGTCCGCCATAGCTAAGCTGTTCTGGATTGAACATGCTCTGGGAACTAGAGTTGGCAATGAGCTCATTCGCGGAATTTCTGGGGGTGAGAAGAAACGGACCTCAATTGCTGAAGCTATGGTTACAAAGGCTAGCACTCAATGCTGGGATAACTCTACTAAGGGCTTAGACGCCAGTACAGCGCTGGAGTATGTTCAAAGCTTGCGAAGTCTAACAAACACCGCCAACGTTTCGACGGTGGTGGCTCTTTACCAGGCCTCGGAGAATCTATTTGATCTATTTGATAAGGTCATTCTGATCGAAGAAGGAAAATGCTCTTTCTTCGGACCAAGCCAGGATGCAAAGGCCTATTTCGAACGGCTGGGCTTTGAATGCCCTCCGCGTTGGACAACCCCAGACTTTTTGACTTCTGTCAGTGACCCCAATGCACGGCGTGTTAAGGCTGGCTGGGATGACCGAATACCTCGGAACGCAGCTGAATTCCAAGCTGCATATCGCAAAAGTGATACTTACCAAGGCAACCTGGCGGATATTGCAACCTTTGAGGGCGAAATCGAAGCCCAAAGGCAGGAGAGAGAGGCTGCAAGAAGCACCACCAAGCGGAAAAACTACACGATCTCATTCTACAAACAAGTTATGATCCTCACACATCGTCAATTTCTGGTGATGTTCGGTGATAGAGAGTCATTGATTGGAAAGTGGAGTATGATAACCTTTCAAGCTCTCATCGTTGGGAGCTTGTTTTACAATCTTCCTGATACAAGGTAGGCAATTGCCTCTCCAAACGCAATGAGACTCCATATGGCTTACCGTCTTCAGCAATGGTGTTTTTACGAGGGGTGGTGTGATGTTCTTTATACTGCTTTTCAATGCATTGCTTGCTATGGCAGAACTGACCGCGGCGTTTGCGAGCCGACCAATCTTAATGAAGCATAAAAGCTTGTGAGGACTGCCAGGAAGAAAATGGAAAATGATAGGACTAATTTTCTCTAGCTCTTTCTATCGCCCTGCGGCTTATGCGCTTGCTCAGGTTGTGGTTGATGTCCCTCTTGTGTTCATACAAGTCGTTTTATTTGATATCATAGTATACTTGTGAGTCTATTGGATGCCTCGAGTGGATTATACTGATGGGCCATTTAGCATGGCAAACCTTGCGCGAACACCATCACAGTTCTTTATAAATCTGCTTTTCATTTTTGCTCTCACGATGACAATGTACTCATTCTTTCGTGCTCTTGGGGCTCTATGTGCCTCATTGGATGTTGGTAAGTGGCATAAACCCCTCGGCATCCAGAAGCGCCCAATAACACTATATAGCCACACGTCTTACTGGTGTTGCCATACAGGCATTGATTGTATACACAGGTAAGCACGGTGCAATGAAACCTAGTATTCGAATTTAATGGTCAACATAATCCAGGCTATCTCATTCCCCCGTGGAAAATGCGCCCGTGGTTAAAGTGGCTAATTTGGATAAACCCTGTCCAATACGCATTTGAGGGATTGATGGCCAACGAGTTCCATAATCTCCAGATAAAATGCGTACCACCCTACGTTGTGCCTGATGGACCGAATGCGGTGCCTGGCCATCAATCCTGTGCAATACAAGGCAGTGATCCAGACCAGTTGATTGTTCATGGTCCCAAGTATATCCAAACGGCCTACACTTACAGCAGAGCTCACCTGTGGCGAAATCTCGGCATCATCATCGGATGGTTTATCTTTTTCGTCTTTTTGACAATGTTGGGAATGGAATTACAGAGACCTAACAAGGGTGGCAGCTCAGTAACAGTGTTCAAAAGAAGCGAAGCCCCGAAGGCAGTTCAAGATATTGTGAAACGAGCTGCTCCGCCAGAAGATGAAGAATCTACAGAGAAGGATGGCATGGCTACTGGCATAGCCACCAGCAAAAATGATGAAGGCTCGAGGGAATCCAGTGATAAGGTCCAGGACATTGCTAAAAACACTGCAATATTTACATGGCAAGACGTCAACTACACCATTCCATACAAGGGTGGACAGAAACAACTATTGCAAAATGTTCACGGATATGTCAAGCCCGGTCGACTGACAGCATTGATGGGAGCTTCTGGCGCAGGGTAAGACACAAAACGAAGTTGACTCCGTTCTTAATGCTAATGTCTGACCAGCAAAACCACTTTGCTCAATGCGCTAGCACAACGAATCAATTTTGGTGTGGTCACTGGCGATTTCTTAGTTGATGGACGGTATGGAATCCTTAAGTAGGTCATTGATTATACACTCTAATATTCCCAGGACTCTCCCAAGGAGCTTCCAGAGAGCGACAGGATTCGCCGAGCAGATGGACATTCACGAACCCACCGCTACTGTGCGGGAGTCTCTCCGGTTCTCCGCTCTATTACGGCAGCCAAAAGAAGTCCCATTACAAGAAAAGTATGACTATTGTGAGAAAATCATTGACCTGTTAGAAATGAGGTCCATCGCCGGCGCAACCGTTGGATCTGCGGGCTCAGGCCTCAACCAGGAGCAACGCAAACGACTCACCATTGCAGTGGAACTGGCAAGTAAACCAGAGCTGTTGCTTTTTTTGGACGAGCCCACCTCTGGTCTCGATTCTCTGGCCGCATTCAACATTGTACGCTTCCTTCGCCGACTTGCAGATGCCGGACAGGCTGTTCTCTGTACGATCCATCAACCCTCTGCCGTGTTATTTGAGAATTTCGATGAGCTTCTGCTGCTTAAAAGCGGCGGAAGTGTAGTTTACAACGGGCCCCTTGGAAATGACTCCAGGACGTTGATTGATTACTTTGAACAAAATGGTGGTAGGAAGTGCTCACCGCATGAAAATCCGGCAGAGGTATGTATTATGAAACTGGAGTCATTGTTTCTTGCTAAACTTCTCTATAGTATATGTTGGAAGTCATTGGAGCCGGAAACCCTGATTATAAGGGGGCAGGACTGGGGCAATGTGTGGGCCAACTCGCCAGAGTCCAAGCAGCTTTCTAAGGATCTAGAGGATATAATTGCCTCCCGTCGCAATTCTCATGATGATGAGAAGGTTAAAGACGGTCGCGAGTACGCAATGCCTCTCTATGTTCAAGTAGTCGCAGTCACCAAGCGCGCATTCGTGGCTTACTGGAGGATCCCAGAATACATCCTTGTAAGTTACTATTTCCAATACTAAATATGAAAGGTTTGACTAATTATTACCAAGGGCAAATTTATGCTCCACATCTTCACCGGCCTATTCAACACCTTCACATTTTGGCATCTGGGGGATAGCTCCATCGACATGCAATCGCGGCTGTTCTCTGTCTTCATGACGTTAACAATCGCTCCACCGCTGATACAGCAACTCCAACCGCGATATATCCATTTTCGCGGGCTTTATAAATCGCGCGAAGCTAATTCCAAGATGTACTCCTGGGCTGCCTTTGTGACGAGCACGATTCTCCCAGAACTGCCCTACTCGATTGTTGCCGGATCAATTTACTTTAACTGTTGGTAAGTGTCTCTTGAGAAAAGGAGTTATCTTTTTAAGTCTGACGGTAATACAAAAAGGTACTGGGGAACTTGGTTCCCGCGCGACTCGTTCAGTTCCGGCTACGTTTGGATGTCGCTGATGCTCTTCGAACTATACTATGTTGGACTTGGCCAATTCATAGCTGCACTAGCACCCAACGAGCTCTTTGCTAGCTTGCTTGTGCCGACTTTCTTTACATTTATTGTTTCTTTCTGCGGTGTTGTCGTCCCTTATGTCGCATTACCGCATTTTTGGCAGTCGTGGATGTACTGGCTTACGCCTTTCCACTATCTCCTGGAGGGGCTTGTTGGAGTCATCACGCATAATGTCCCAATGCGCTGTATTGAGCGCGAAGAATCCCACTTCAGCGCTCCAGCTGGCATGACCTGCCAACAATATGCTGGGCCTTATGCCGAAAAGGCTGGTGGATATGTCCGAGACGCTGGGAATGGAATGTGTGCGTTCTGCCAATACTCCAATGGTGATCAATATGTAAGTTGCGCTTTATCATGGCCTCCCAAGTTCATTGCTTGGATAGAGTACAGCTAACGCGAGCTTTGTTATTATCTCCAGGCTAAGGGTCTCAATGTGTTTTACTCGCACAAGTGGAGAGATTATGTGAGTATCTTTGTACCCCTTCGGTTAACTTGGAAGTGAGATTAATCTCAGATATATATTAGGGAATCTTCTGGGGATATGTCATCTTCAACTTTGCTCTTGTTTTCGCCTTCTCCTGGTTATATTTGCACGGTGTGAGCAACATAAAACGTTGGTTTAGTGAGCGTAAGACGAGAAACGGCAAAGAGCGTTCTTGAACGTGGTTACACCGTGTCTTCCATGCTGTGCGTGAGTGCATCGTGTGCGATGCATTCAACATAATGTCCGAGTCTTGATAAGGTAGAGAATAATCAAACTCTATAGTCAGCACAGATCTATGATTACTGCAATTTTCTCCAAAAGAACGAACTATTTCTTAACAATTTCCTTGATTTTGATTTGCTCAACGTACTATATGCACCTAGGTAGTTAGATTGATCCTGCTGAGTCGATTGGCTGAGTGGCCTAGTTACATTGCAGAGACTACCTAATACTTGTATAGGTAGCATTGACACGGTTACACACGATATATAATTGCTCAGAGATCAATAAGTCCGACATTGATAAATCTCCATGTGCCTTGCTTGACCCGCAAAATTGCTCATCGCGCAGCTCCGCGCCCAAAAAGCTTGGCATTTTTCCGTCTTCCTCACCTCTCTCTCACCTTACGCGTTGAATTTTACCTGTACCACTGGCTGCTTCTGAGCGCATTACAACATATGCCATGACTCTTTAAGCTCAAAGCCTTTCTACCTATTTCATTTACCATTCTTTTCTACTTTCCCCACCATGAAGGAAGAAGCAGAAACCTCCAGAGATACCCCCGATGGCTCGACTGCCGGTGACGAGTCGAAGGCCAGTCTTGCTTCGAAGGATCGCAAATGCCAGTACTGCCACCAGGCCTTTACTTCTTCATCACTGGGTCGACACCTCGACCAATTCCTTTTTAAGAAGAAACCCGATGGAATCCACGATGTCGAAGAGATCAGACGAATTCGCAGCGGAATCACCCGGCGCCAGGCTCGAACATCTACAGGGAAGAACGAAGGCAGTCCTGACCGAAGCCAGAAAAAGGGAGCTGCAGAGCCGTTTGCAGCCGCAGACTCGGGATCGAAGTCGCGCGAGACTCCGGTGCGCATGATGTTTAACACACCCACCTGGCACGCGACGGGGGTGATCAATGATATTCCCAACCCCAGTCGCATGCCGGATGGTCCTCGAATTGCGCCATCGCAGTCTCGGACAGGGTCGCTACAGCTACCGGACTATTCCAGTAGAGGTGCTAACTCCACCAACCCGGATACGATGCGGGCACTGGAGCTTGCACTGCGCGAGGTGCTTGACAATATCAAAGCTGCGAGGTATGTTGAATCATTCCCCTCGTCATATCTAACCCTCAATCTCACGCAACACTAGTTCTCGTACCCGGCCTCGGCTGTCTCCGTTCGACTTCGACATGCAAGCTCAGACCTTCCCCTCCATGTGTCTGCAGCTGCTGCCCCTCCGCCAAGCCTGTTTGCAACACATCCGTTTCCCTCGTCTACTTCGTTTCCCCTCCAGCCTCCCGGCGCCGAGCACCTCGATATAATCCGCCAAGCCCTTCGCTCTAAGGTCGCCCAATGGCAAACCGACCAACTCGCAGTAGACTCGACTGCTGCGCCGCACATGAGACATGGGAATAGCGGGGTGGATCAAAACATGATTTACCGGAGTGCACAACAGCACGAGGATATCAGTTTCCGACACTTAGAATTGGCCTTCAATCATTGGAATGCTCTGTCCCACGAGACCCGTCGCGACGCGTGGCAATTGGAGATCACACGCGCATTTGCGCGAGAGGTAGAGAAGCGCAAGTCTTCAGACGAGCAACTTGCTCGAGTGCAACAGGAAGCAAACCAGCTGCGTGCACAGGTCGAGCGCCTCGGGTCATGCCAATGGCCTCGTGAGTTCGCACTGTTTCCCCGGATACGCTCCCCCTACCACGAGAGGTCGGGCGGGAATTAGACGCACAAGAAAGCCACATCAGTGCCGACTCTACGCGATGGGACTACGACAACGTGGTCGCCAAATGGAAACGTGTTGTTATGCACGACAAGGCCATAGGTCGAGTCGGGGTTGGTTATGGGAATCCCAGTCCGCTGGGTGATCCAGACCAAAGTCAGTCTCACCAAAGCCCTGATGTCCGGCCTCCACGCCCAGGTGAAGACACCACCTCTCATCCAAATCGTTTGCGCCCCTTGCAATCTGCTACGGCCTTGAGCCCAGACGCTGCGGCTGCTTCCACCCCTGCTTCATCAACCCACTATGCTTCACCCCACTCCTTTGCAGATCCTCGCAGCCCGCCCGGTGGTGGTCTACCTGGTGGCATGCCACAAGTCGGTGGGCTGCCTCCAGCTAAGCGACAGCGCCTCATGAATGGCTCAGAAGACCCATCTGGTCCCTCGTCCGATCCTGGCCATGCTCCGCCTTCTGCGGCAGGTAAACCTTGGGGATCTTCCACACCCCATTTGTCCAATCTTGCTGCACCCTCGGGGCAGACGCCCCCATCCTCGTCCACCAGGAATTAACTGGTTTGGGCTTACAATACTTGTGAAAACGCACTCAACAAGCCGCCTGGGGGTATCATTAATGCGCTTCCTTGTCTTGGCTTAGTAGCTGGCTTTGCTTGGTACGTCCGTTCCAGGATGTACTCTTTCTAATACAGAATAGCATGATAATCAATACCCATATGAATACCCAACTCTTCATTTTCATCGTAGTTTAGGCGCAGGTGCTCTGTTACAATAACGTCACGTTGACAATCAACAAACTGTCTAATATTTTGAACTCAGGCCCTTTCTTTCGCGTCTTGAGCAATCTCTTTGCCAATATACTCAGCTAGAGTCAACATCTTCTCCTCCTGCAATCTCCTACCTACCAATTGCACTCCCACCGGGGCCCCGTCGTAGGACTCGGCATCATCTACACAACGATCAGCATGAAATAACAACTGGGAAAGTATAGGGGGAAACGCACAATCCCACTTGATGTGCTCAGATCCATCCACAGATTCATTAGACGATCGCACATCGACCTTCTTATCCGCAAATGTGACTGGGATCGCAAGACTAGTATAGTCAAGCACATTCACAAATCCAGTATATCCCACAGACTCGTATTCGTTGGGAATAACTGCGGCATGAGGCGCCAATGGACAAAAGAGCGCATCAACAGGACGCCCCGTTCCGGTAACTTCGGCTGTGCTGTTCCAGTAGTCCATGTACAGTTTCTGATACTCACGCTTTGCAACATTGAGCGCCGAAATCTCCGATGCTGTCATCGGAGTACCATGCTCGGTACCGAGTACTTGCGGAGCTCGAGATTCTCCAGATAGACCGAGGTGATACTTCAAGTCTACTCCACCATCCATGTTGAATACTTTATCCTGCCAAAAGTTAGCACCGTACTGAGCCTCACCCCAATGCAAAGCCCACTGGTACATACAAGTAATTCAATGGCAACAGCGTGAGAAGGAGGCTTCCACTTAATAACCCGATGACCCAGTCGCTGTAGCGTTTTTTCAACAATCCTAAGCCCTCGCGCAATAGGCGGGTGCACAGGGGCCACGCCATCGTATTTCATGATGCCGAACGCAAGCGTCGACGCCCCATCTCGAGCCTTCTCAATCCACTCCCTAGTCTCCTGGACAACTTCATCCCGCCACGGCAGCTCCAACGCAAGCGGATCATACAACCAAGGTTTCTGCCCAAGTACAGCTTTAAACAAAAGCATCAAAGACCTCGCAGTTGGCGCAATCGGCCCAATCACAGACAAGACAGTGCTCTGGCCATCTAACGAGTTTGCAGCGCCTTGGTAAGGAATTCTACCCGCTGAAGGGCGAATTCCATAGAGGAAATTAAACCCAGCGGGGATGCGTATACTGCCTCCGATATCAGTGCCGAAGCCAGCAGGCGAGCCTCGGAGCGCAATCAGGGCACCCTCGCCGCCAGAACTGCCGCCGGAGGATAGCAGGCGGTTCTTGGGGTTCCAGGTGTAGTTAATGATGTTATTGATGGTTTCACCGGTCATTAGCGTAGCTGGAACGCTGGTCTTGCAGTATAAAACTGCACCGAGGTTGCGTAGTTCGCGGACGAGTTCGCTTTCTTCTGTGCCGCTGCGGGGGTCGTTCTGGTTGCCCTGGAAGGTGTTTATCCAGCCTACGTAGCCCATTGTTGTTTCGACATCTTTAACGTGAAACTGGTCTTTTAGACTCACTGGTAGGCCGTGTAGAGGTCCTATCGGGGTTTTGTGCTTTGCGAAGTATTCGTCTTGTTGTTTGGCATCTTTGATTGCCGCTTCGAAAAATACTTCGTGGAGACAGTTGACCTAGTATTTGGTTTATGGTTAGCTCTTATTTAGACATTTGAGGTTTATGGATTCTTGTGCGCTGTAACTATAAACATACGAGCTGGTGAGCCAGTGCAGCCCGGTGGCAGAAGGCTTCTGTCACTTCCACAGCTGACCAGCGGCCTGTAGATGTCTGCTCCACAATGGCTACGGCATCTGTCTCTGTGATCTCAATCTCACGCTCGGTGAGGTATTGTCGGATATAATCCGCTGTGACATCACGTAGCTCTGTAGCGGGAGGGACAGGACATTCTAGTCGCCATTTCTTGGGGATAGCATTCAGAATTGACTGGCGTTTGGCTTCGCCTTTCAGTTTCCAGGATTCACCTGTCATGATAAATTAAAGATGTTTGTTAAAATATTGTGAGATAGACTTCCGCAAAGAGTACTCTATCAAAATGCCCCACGGGTGCGGGGTTATTGGAGTCATTGAACGCGAAACAACTGGAGGCTAGCTTATCGGCTACTCCATTCGGGTATCATGTTGGGTTTAATTTGGACCTCGGGAATATTGCAGAGGTGTCGATATTGTTTTGCTCCATTTAAATGCATTTGATTCGTGCGGTGGCTGATTATTATCACCACCCGGGTGGACATCGCGGAAATGCAATCCACGTGCCGGTTTACCTTGTGAACGATAGTCCCCGCTTGTCGATACGGGGTCAAGGGCGTGCCGATAGGCAATAGAGAATTAACGAAGTGGGCAGAAGATATGGAAAAAGACAAAACGGAAGTCCTAATTAGGAAGGGTATCTAAATCCCCAGAAATTAACCTCTCAATCCGGTCGAAGCTTAAAATAATAAAATATGTAGTCCGAACTGGAATTACTGGATGTGGATTGTATTCAAATTATGAGAGTCAGCCGCTATTATTATTGATTATAGTATTCGAGATGACTGTGTTGACTGGTGCACATATATATTTTGTATGCAGTTGAGAAGTTGAGTTGTTTAATAGCTCACCTCATGTCCAAAATATTGGAGTGAATCAATATCTGAAGGGGCACAATTACTATCTTCGAAGGTCCCGAAGCGATTACTAGGTACAAATCGGTACAACACGATGCTAGATGGCCATTGTTTATTTATTTGTTCTTATTGGTCTGCAAAAGCCCGAGATAGGGACTCCTATAGTATGTCTACTCAGTGTTTTTGGGCCTATCAGCCTCGATACTAGCTTTCACCTCGTCGGTACCATTGGCTTGAACGCCATCGTGTACTCCAATCCTCCGCTTGTCTCGCTTCTCCAAGTAGCGGACGCCAATTGTCGTGATAACCAAAGCCAACCCCATACATATCATCGCAATGCTACCCTCTTTCCAGTCTGGGCCCTGAGTTGTGCTGTAAAAGAGAATGGACCAGAACATATAGACCGCAATTGAAAACGTGTTCATAGCACCGAGAATTATTCCTCGCTTCGCATCATCATCTCCAGTAGCCCCATTTGCCCAGGCAAAAATCACAGTCTGGCTGGCGTACTGGGCACCATTCAAGAATAATGCGAAAAATTTGGCTCCGGTGGATGGGGGTCGCAGCATGATCGCTCCAGACAAAATGGCAGTGAAGGCCAAGAAAACACCCACATGCCATGGGCGTTTGGTGAAGTCCGAATACCAGCCAAGGATAAGGGTGGTGATGATTCCTACACCTGCCACGCCGGTCGGGATGTAATTGACTTGCGACACGGTGTAGTTGTTTGTTGATGAGAGCCACAGATTCATAATAGCATTCGATGAGAACATTTCGGTGTTGCTGGCGAATATCCAAAGCAGAATAAAACCTAGCCAATGCCAGGTCCTCAGGACACGCGAGATCAGATTCCATCCCAACACACCACGTTGTTTCTCGACTTCGGGAAGACGCTCGATAGCAAGCTTCCTCTCCTCTTCACTCAGCCACCATGCGGTTGTTGAAGTTGGAGTGTCTGGGAACGCGAGGAACCCAAAGATCGCCACCGGAATGGTGATGCAGAAGTCCAGGATGAACAACCACCGCCAACCGGGAAGACCCCGAACACCATCTGCAGAGAATTAGCACTTAGTACAAAGGTGTTACTGCTGATGAAAGATGATCATCTTACCAAGACTCTGGTGAATACCCCCTTGCATAAACCCAGAGAACATTGTTCCAGCCAAACCACTGCTAGTAAAGATCGCCGTTCTTTTGCCGAGCTCGTCCGGCTTGTACCAACTTCCGAGAATATACTGGCAACCAACGAATGTAGAAGCCTCAAAGATAGCTTGGAAGAATCTGATGACCATGATCTGCCATGGGTGGTGAGTAAAGCCAGTACCCAAAGTGAGCAATCCCCAGGCAGCCATGCACGCCGGGAAATAGATACGCGGAGGAAGCTTTTGTAAGGCGAGGTTGTTCGGAATCTGTCCCAAAACATAGCCACCATAGAAAACTATGATAAGTTAGTCGCAAAAGTTGGGAAACCTTTGATCCCAGGCTCAGCACGCTGACGTACCTGTGTTGGCGATATTCAATTGGTTGCCGTGGAAGTTCAAATCCTCTCTCATTCCAGTAACATATGCATTGTTCAGGTTCATGCGATCAAGATAATTGACCCAATACATCAAACAACAAAACGATAGAATAACCAAGTCAAGCTTGACCAAAAGCTTTCGTTCTGCCTTGGTCGCTGCGGGCTTCCCCCAGACCACCTCCCGAAGTTTGGAGAAAATGAACATTGAAGATGTCAAGTAGTGTATCCCTTGAGCACAGCTATCTGATGTGGGCAAACACCCCGGGGGTGTTATGGGTACTTATGTACCTAGGTAGGTACTGAAGATTACCCCAAAAAATCCCTGAGTACTCCCGAGGTCTTTATCTCCACTATTTCCACTACTTCCACTATCTTAACCACCTGCTCCCCCGCACTCCAGACGGGATGCCTAACCCAGTCTACGGCGCCGGTGACCAGTAGCAGATAAGTGATAGAGTGGTCGTTCACGAGTATCAGAGCTCAGCAGAGACTATCAAACTTTGGCGGATATCACCCGTGGACTCTTGGCAATGATAAAGTGTTTCAGTGTCGTAAATCAGCGTTATCACATTCTAAGCCGATTAACCTCCGGTTGATCTTTCAGTCTCTCTATTTCATTATTCAGAGGATATACTTAGGTATAAATCATATGTTACTTGGAAGCCGGAGGCTGGAACCATATTTGAAAGAATC